GGCACAAAAAAATACACCACAGAGTCTTCCAAAAAAATAATTAAAAAAAACAATCCACCCACCATCCACTGTGGATGGTGGGATTAGACACCATAGAGTTCATGCATGCTAAAAAGATAAAGAGGAAACAACCACATTTCCTGTCTGCTACAAAGTGTGGTTAGCTACTGAAACTTGTAGAAAGGTTTAACATCATCCAGGAAGTAATAGGAGCTTTAATTTATTTGATCAACCTGGAGTGACCAAAATATGAGATAGTTGTAATGGGGTTTTCTGCAGCAGCAAGTCTTTTTGTTCATTTCTCCTTCCTTGCAGGTACTGTGCTTCTACTTTTTATTTTAAGGAATTTTCAACGTTTTACACTGCTTGACTCTGAGACGTCTCTGCAGCTAGTGTGTTATTATTGGAGTATTGCTAATCGACCCAAAGCATTAAAAACCAGGAGACTATTTTATGTTTAAATCATATATTAATAACTATGTGTTATTGCAATTAGTGCAATGCAGAGTGTTTAATGCTGCTGTTAAATGTACATTGCTGGAGAATTGGAGATATGTTCCATGGGCTGTTGAAGTATATCTCCGTCTGATGTTTTCTTGACCTTTGTGAAATGTTTGGTGGATGAAAAATGTTGTTAGGTTGTATATATATATATATATATATATATATATATATATATATATATATATATATATATATATATGTTGGGATCCTCAGGCTTGCCCACCAGAGGGCGCCGAGGATCCTCTTCTGTTCCAGAGCCGCAGTCGGCGGTCTCCTCAGAGCCTCCTCCAGAGCCGCAGTCGGCGGTCACTACTGAGCCTGTTCCTGAGCTGCTGAGGAGGAGACGAGGTACCCCGTGGGGGTACCTGCTGAAGCTTGGGCGTCATCCTCCTGAGAAGCTGCTTCGCCTCCGGCCCCGCGGCCGGACCCCAGAGCGTCAGCTTCGCCTCCGGCCCCGCGGCAGACCCCCGGAGCATCAGCTTCGCCTCCAGCCCCGCGGCAGACCCCCAGAGCGTCAGCTTCGCCTCCGGCCCCGCGGCAGACCCCCGGAGCATCAGCTTCGCCTCCAGCCCCGCGGCAGACCCCCAGAGCGTCAGCTTCGCCTCCGGCCCCGCGGCAGACCCCCGGAGCATCAGCTTCGCCTCCAGCCCCGCGGCAGACCCCCAGAGCGTCAGCTTCGCCTCCGGCCCCGCGGCAGACCCCCGGAGCATCAGCTTCGCCTCCAGCCCCGCGGCAGACCCCCAGAGCGTCAGCTTCGCCTCCGGCCCCGCAGCAGACCCCCGGAGCGTCGGCTTCGCCTCCAATCCCGTAGTCGACCACCTAAGACTCTACTCCGTTGCCGGATCCTAGGCCGGCCTCCAGAACCTCAGCCATGCCTCCGGCCCGGCAGTGGTCCTCCCAAGACGCTGCTTCGTCTCCAGCCCTGTGGTCGGCCTCCTGAGCATCTGCCTCGCTTCCATCTCAACGGTCGACCTCCTGAGCAGCTACTACGCCTCCGCTGCCGGCCCCACGGCAGGCCACCTGAGACTGTGTCCTGCTGCCGGTACCTCGGCCGGCCACCTGAGAAGAGCTCTGGAAGAGCTGCATCACAGGAAACCAGTCTCAAGCCTGAAGCTCTAGGAGAGCTTAACCTGCTAATCTGCCCTGGTGAGCCAACCCGAAGATTCCTACGTGGATGTAACCTAAGACTTCTATGTGGAGTTTCCCTGGAGGTTCCTATGTGGAATCAGCTTCAAGAATCCTATGTGGATTTTCCCCCATTGTTCCCTGCTAAGAGCTGGAAGCTCAGCCTGAAGAATCCTTCATGTTGTTCTCTGCAGTGAGCTGGAAGCTCAGCCAGATGAATCCTTTGTGCTAATCCCCTGTTGTTCTCTGCAGTGAACTGGAAGCTCAGATCAAGGCCAGCCATGCTAAGTATGAAGCTAGATGCTTAGCTTGCTCATGAACTCAGCTAACCTACAATCTCCCGTACCAGTATAATCTCCAGTGAACCTGCTCCTCTGTCTGAACCAGTTCCAGTTTCATCATTCATGTTGTGCTTCAATAAACTCTTTTGAACTTTTACCCAGTCTCTCCGTGTGTGTTCTGCATTTTGGGCTTAACCCTAGAACCCATCATGACAATATATATATATATATATATATATATATATATATATATATATATATATATATATATATATATATATATATATATATATATATATATATATATACATATATATATATATAAACTTCTTTCTCGCCCTCCCCTCATACTCCTGTGCAGGTAGATGGTTCCTTGATCTCCCTTGATAGCCTTTGGATATTATTGACTCCTTTTTATTGGATAAAGGTGAGAGGGTTGTGAATAATTTGTTTTCAAATTTAGAGGTGTATTTAGAAATAAAATCTGAATTGTCTTTAAAAAAAATTTTTTATTCTTCTACCGTGGGTTTAAATTTCTCTGTTGCTACTTTTTTTGCGACGCTTTAAAAAATGTTTCTAAAGACAAGTTAAATGTCTTTAAGGAAGCAGAAAAAGCTAGATCATTTTGCTAGATCTGGTCATTCTGCAGAAGTTTCGGTTCTATATCATTAAGCTGGTTACAGAGCAAACCCTGTGTTTTACACGTTTCGGGTATTTACATAAGAACCTATGTTGAGTAACTAAAAGCAAAAATTGCTTAATTCTCTTTCCTAAATCTAAAACGTTGTTTGTATAGATAATATCTTGGTCTCATATTTCCTCTCTGCTGCAGGAGTTATGTTGAAATCGCATCAGATACTCTGAACTTTTCTTTTACAAGCTTAAAACATCCCTAGTGACTCAGAAGATTTATTGGGTTTTGTAGGAACCATAGAAATGGTCATTAAACAAAATGTAATGGTCTCAGAATGTTGACAGTTGGAAAGTTCAAAGTGTTTTATAAACAAACAGGTGCACGGGGCTGCTCGTCTGCTACGGCGCGGATCTCTGCAACTTCGGTAAAGTTAGAAAGATAATCTGTGAATATCTTTCTAACTTTACCGAAGTCTTCCCCTGCTTAGTTTGAGAAATAATGTGTTTACAGTTATGCACGTTTCGACACATAATCATACCTGTTCTCTGAGATTGTGGTATGAATTTCATAAGTCTGGGACAATAGATGTGAAAATAAGGAAGGGAGGGAATATTCGGCAGATTCCAGGTTCTAAGTTAAACAAAGTGTCAGACATGATCTAGAATGGTGTTGATAGCTAAATTGGGAATTGGCATCCGCTGAGCAGAGAATTTATTCATCGCACATCGACTGAAGCACATCGACTGAAACTTGTCTCCATACAAGTAAAACCCTATTAATTCAAATTTATCTGTCCACCTAAACTATCAATTTTAAGGCATCCATTTAAAACATTAAGAATATGTTTAAAATGTCCCTTTTCGCTCATATTTCAATCAGTTTTCTTATCAGTGGATGTGAGTTTAGGGCGATGTGCGCTCCCGCGACGGGGGAGGTCATTCTCAGCAGGCAGGTAATTTTCGTCACAAAAGGGGCGTACATGACAACCATACCATGCATGTTGTTTTAGCCTAATAGAATATGGATCCTTGGCGGAAGTTCAACTAAAGAAACAGATTGCTCTGCCAATCAGCTGTGAGCCACACCTGCAAGAAAGCCAATCAGCGTCCAAAGTTCATCTTAAAAGGCCTCCGATCTGCAACTTGTCTGCTTCTGTGCGCAGGCGGTGGATGCGCTGTTTGACTTCATTCAGATGACCCCGTTTCAACCCACCTCCAGCCCCTCCTCTACCGTCATAGCTAAAGCTTCATTGGAGTTTCATTCGTCCCAGACTCGTACTGCGTTCCCTGTCTCATCTTAACCGGCCTGGCAGAAGACCACCGTGTTGAGCCTGGTTCTGCCAAAGGTTTCTTCCCAACAGGGAGTTTTTCCTCTCCACTGTCGCTTCATGCTTGCTCATCATGGACAGGTTCTCTCAACCTGTGTTATCCAAACTGGACTTCCATCTTCCAGGTCCCTGAGTGAAGCTCTAGTATCAGCTCACACAGTCCACTGGATCTTCCTATAAAGCTCAGCAGACCATCTCACTAACCAGCAGTCTACAGACTGACCAACTTTGTCTATCTCCACTCAGGCCTGGGGGGGAAACAGCCCTATTCTTTGCTCCTGTTCATCCATATCTATTAAAATTAAGTGCTATGTTTCCTGCCGAGGTCTGAGCGCCAAAGACAAAGTAATTGTATCAATAAATTTCTTCTAATTGTATTTTTTCGTCGTGTGAGTTTTTCAGATTGAAATATTAATTAGGCTATGTTTTACTTCCGAAAAAAAAAATTCCACCATCCCCCTTCTTTTATTTTTTTTTTTTACAACTCTACTACTGCCTATAAGTAAAAAGCAGGATTTTTTTGACCACACAAATGCACTATTTATATATTTAAATATAATGAATTTTTAAAGCACTTGTATATAATATAAATATGCAATTAATGTACAAAGCAAAACATAAATCACTAATAAATTGTATTAAGAGGTTCCTTTGTTTTCTAAAAAAATAAGTATAATTTTAGAGATAAATGTAAGTTCTCATTAGAAAAAGCAAATCAAAATGAGACATTTTTCTGTTCCTGGAGTTAGAATGTGGAACGCTGCCCCATAACCCTGTATGGAGGCAGTCATTTATAAGCTTTTGCTTCAGCCTAAGCCTTTCAGCCACAGTAATGTCTATTTAAACACAATCTGTCTTTTTTTTTTATGTGTCTGAATGAAACTTAAAAATTTTAAATCAAGGTTTGTTTTATAATTAAAACTTTCTTTTTACAGAAAACTATGCACTTCTGTTTATGCTGATCTTACTTAATTTGTACATTATTGATCTACTTCATAAAAAAATTATAAAAATGGAATTATGTTAAAAATATGTTTATGCGTCTTTCTTTCTGTAGAATGCGTAAATAGACAATACAGTTTAATTTCCCTCAATTTGTTTCTATTGTTTTCTGTGTTACAGAGGTACAGAGTAATAATGGCTGGGGAGTGACTTACAGGCCTTCTCAGGGGGGTATCTGTGCCTTAAAAGGATCAACGGTGGAAATGAAATGCGAGTACAGATACCCAAATAGTAAAGATGGCACAATAACCAAAGTGCTGGAACAATTTTGGATTACTGGAAATGATCATGTCAGTTTTGCGACCAAGAAGGAGTATGAAGGGCGTGTGACAAACAGCTGTAGTAGGCAGAAGAAGAGATGCACTTTGAGGATTACAGACCTGAAAGAAAGCGACTCAGCTGTTTACAAGTTTAGGTTTATTACAAACCTACTACTTGGAAGCTATACTGGTGAACCAGGAATCCAATTGTCTGTCACAGGTTTGGATTATTTAATATTAAACAATATTATCATAGTTATCGTTGTGCTGTAAATCAAAAATGTAAATTTTCTCCCCACAGACCTACATTTAACTGTTTCTGTCCAACGGAAAGACTCATTAAATTCCATTTTAACACTGAAGTGTTCCAGCTCTTGTGTTTTACCGCCTAAATCTACATATGTTTGGTACGAAAACGGACAGAAGATCAACCATGATAAATCTACGTATTCAATCAATAGTGACTCTCTAGACAGCATATCCTGCGCTGTTAAAGGACATGAGGATTTCCCTGCTCCTTTAATATGTGAGTTTATTTCAACATCTTCATCCAAAACAGCTGAATCACTTATTAGTGTCTCTTCTGAGATTTCAGGTGTTGGGATCCAAGGGTTTGCCCTCCAGAGGGCTGTGTGGATCCCTTCCTGTGGGCTTCTATTTCTGTTGGGATCCAGAGGTTTGCCCACCAGAGGGCGCCATGGATCCTCTCCTGGGAGCTGGTTCTCTGCGCTCAGCTGATTCCTATCAGCTCTGCCGATTAACCTCTCCCTATATAAGCTGTTTGATAGCTTCACTCTGAGCCGGATCGTTGCCATGTGCTGCCTTGCCATGCTCTTCCATGCTCAGCCGTGCCATGCTTTGCCATTGCCATGCCATGCCATGCCATGCCATGCCATGCCATGCCATGCCATGCCATGCCATGCCATGCCATGCCTGCCTGAATCTGCTTTTCTGTGCCTGTTAAACCCAGCCTGTCTAACCAGCGAACCTGTGAGTTTGAGCTTGTTAATCTGTCCCTGAGTTTAACCTGTGCTCTGTCTTCTCTGCCTTCCAGGGCAGAACCCTGTGTGGATCCAAATAAATATTGGACTTTAATCCTGCCTCAGTGTCTGAGTTCTGCATCTTGGGCTAGCAACCTAATAAATCATGACATCAGGTTTTCTTTCATTTTGTTTCCATCTCCTCCAGATGCTCCAGTTTCTCCTTCTCTCTCAGCTGATCCCTCTGCTGACATATTTGAAGGCAGCTCAGTGACTCTGAGGTGCAGCAGTGAAGCTAATCCACCAGCAAACTACACTTGGTACAAGAAGACTAAAACTTCAACCCTTCAACCTCTCAGTCGAGGTTCAGAGTTTCCTCTGAATAACATCCAATCGTCTGACTCTGGTGAATACTACTGTGAAGCTGAGAACCAGCTGGGGAAAAGAAGATCTACTAACCTAAATGTTGATGTGAAATGTGAGGAATACAGCTGGTTTAATTATATTTCTTTACATTTTGCATCAGTCTAACTCGGTCACTCAGTCATACTCTTCTGACTTAATGAAGCAGGACATCTCTTTTCTAGTTTATAGGTCAGATACTTTTGGTTATTTACTTGAGACAACATTTAAATAGATTATAATTTACTTCCTCTGGTAAAGAAGTTTTAGTAGTCTGGGTTCATATATAGCAACTTAACTTCCAAGCTTTTTCAAACATGTCTCTTTAATAAAAGTGTGATTTATTCTCCTGCAGATCCTCCAAGGCTCCCCTCTGTCTCTGTGAATCCTCCTGGTGAGATAGTGGTGGGAGGTTCAGTGAATCTGACCTGCAGCAGTGATGCTAACCCAGCAGCTACGTATGCCTGGTACAAAGAGAACACAGCTTCACCAGCAGCAGATGGACCAATGCTGACCATTGTGAACATCAGACATGAAGATGGTGGAAATTATTACTGTGAGGCCAGAAACAGCAGGGGGCAGCATAACTCCACCCTACAACTGATTGTGGTTACAAGTAAGTTAATTTAATAATAATAATCATTGAACTATATTAATCTCATAATGGAGAAATTTACCTCTGCATTTAACCCATCCCCTTGGGGATCAGTTGGCTGCCATTGTGCATCACCCGGGGAGCAGTGTGGGGCTAAGTGTTTTGCTCAGGAACCCAGTGCAGAGACTGTGGGGTTCGAACTGGGTATTAGAGACTGACATTTTTTCGGGAATCCCACGGCTCACAGGGATTCCCGTGGGATTCCCGTGGGATGGGAGTCAGTATTAGTAATGATCACATGATTGGGACGGTACAGGATTAAACATTAACGGGAGCAGACGGGAGCGGGAGCAAACCAATAGTTACTAAAAAAAACTAGGATCGATGCCAAAAACTCAAAATAAAATAGAAAGAAAAAAAAATCCAGTACTGGCGCCGCCATTTTGTAGTTTTTTTCCTTGAAGCCTGGGCGTTTCTCAATATGCGTTCTTGAGCGTTCTCGTGTACTCGTGACACGTCATCAGCCTCAGCCCGAGTACCGTTCCAATTCTCGAGAACGCCAGATCGAGAACGCAACAAATCCCCGGATGTTGTTCTCGCCCCACCCTCTTTATCGAGCATGCATCAGAGCAGACTTGTGCGTTCTTCAGACAGACCGCTTCCCCAGAATGCACCGCGGCCGCAGCTTGATTCCAGACAGCGCTCACAGTGTTAAGTTAAACATTCCCTTTTCTGCTGCTGTTGTTCTTCAAAAGTACGTTTTGAAATCGTTTGAGGCGATAACATTATACATTGAAGCCTCCCTGTGTGGTCTGTTTAGAGTTAGTGCGGAAAAAAAAAAAAAAAAGTCTGATGTTGAGCGGACCAGAGTGACCAGCAGACCTCCGAGGGTAACCGCAGCCAGGGCTAAATTTACCCCCTCTGTAGTGCACTTCTCTCGGTCTAGTTATGTGTGAACTACCGCTCGTTCTGATGGCGTTTTTTTGCGGTTCGGTAATTTTTTTAAATGTTTTTTAAGCTTTAGAAATTAAAAATATTGTTTTCAAAATGTTTTGTGTAGGGAATAAATAGTTTTGACTGTTAAAGAAATGCTAAAGAACGTTGCATTTGATGACGTCACGAGTACGCTTCTGTTCCAATACACATACGTGCTCGCGTTCTCGTCAAGTCCGATCTTACTGCGTTCTCGCCAAGAACGGACTTGATGAGAACGCGAGTACATACTCACGTTCTCGTGAATTGAGAAACGCCCTATAATGCGAGTCAAAAAAACTACACGACTCAAAAACCAACAGTGCTTCCGCTCAGAGTTTTTCACCCGCGCTCAAAAACAACAATGGAGGCACCAACAGTTAGTGGCGAACTCGACTTCGAAAAGTTTGATTGTTTATTCACCTAAGATAAGCATGGTCTGTTTCCTTGTTTGTTACTTTTATTGTGTATTTATAATTATTCCTTTTACTTTAACTGACATTTACTACAACAAGAATGGGAGTGGTGCGGGAGTCATTCTGAATGGGAGCGGGATGGGAGTGGGAGTAATTTCACCAGGAGTGGGACGGGACAGGATTTAGATTTCTACTCTGGCCCAGGATCGGGACGGGACACAATTTTTTTTTCTGTGGGAGTGGGACGGGACAGGAGTGAAAATCCACTCCTGTGTCAGTCTCTACTGGGTACTTTCAGCCCTCTCAGAACACAAGCGCACTGATCTACTAGGCTAACACGCCCCTAATGTGATGAATAACTATAAATACATTTTTTTAAACAGTGTCCTATCAGGCAATGTGGCAATAAGAATAATTGTCTTGATGCCAAAAAGAGCCCAACAGATTTTACTTTCACAAGTGTAGCAGTATGGAAATTGCCATATTGCTCCATAGCCTGGGTGCCAGTCAGAACTTAGCCCCGCCCACAAGGTTTGAGTTCGGGGAAGTTCGGTCTGGCTCTGCTCCATAGTAGCGCGACTATTATCGCCCACTGTCAGGCGATCCAATCAAATTGTTAGGGCGGGCTTTATACGATGATGGACAGATGATCAAGAGTAACGTAATCAACCACGTCACCAAAGCGCGCTTAGGTGACAACAACAATGGCTGCCGCTGGAGAGTTTGGGTGAGTAGATTCTGCTATTAGGTCTGTTCTAGAAGATATCGACAGCAAATTAATTTTAAAAGAGGAACAGAGAAACGCGATCAAGGCTCATCTTCTTATTCTAGGCGTGAAACTGATTTGATTTTTGTGGACAACAACTATGCCTGGCTTAACATACGTCACGCACTCCGTTGCTCTTATTGGTTGTAGGTCTATCCAATTGAGTGCAGAGGCATTTTTTTTCCTGGTTCGTTCGAAACACGCCCCATAATCACAGCTCTATGGAGCAGCATCAGACTCATTCTGACTAGAATTGAGTCGGACTACGTCAGGCTAATTGCTCCACTTGTTTCATGCATATAAATTGCTTTATTATAATTATGCAGGGAGTTTTACAAATTATATGGACATTGCAATGTAAATAGAACAGATGAGGAAAAACAGAAGAAGAAAAAGAAAAAAAAGAAGAAAAGATGAACGAAAGAGGAGATAGAAAGGAGATAAAGACAAAACATTTTCAGTCTGCTTCATCACCTGTAACGAGATGTAAAAAGAACAGCACAACCGAAAGACATGGTACGAGACATACAATAAAGCAACACCTTGAAACTTTCAGTGAAGTAGTATTATTAAGTCTGACATGTACTCTGTGTTACCTGAAGATATGAATGTGGGGTTTCTGTATGGAAGTAAATCTCTGAGTACCTGGAGCCAAGCACCAGTAGTTGATTGTGAGAGTGCACTTGTGCATGTAAAGTTTATCCATAGAGAAAATCCTCAATTGTGGTTGTGGAGAGCCGAAGAGGCGCCCCCCCCCCCCAGAGCACTGAGTCCAGCACCGGGAGACCCAAAGCCCCAGACGCCCAGGGACCCCCAAGAACGAAGGCACCAAGGAGGGGCCATCCCAAGAAATCAGACCCCAACCAAGGGAGGAGGAGAGACAGCCCCGAGGAAGCCCCCAAGCCACCGCCATGCCGGCGCCCTGGGAAGCCACGGGGACGAGTCCGCAGGCTCTGCCGGCAGCCAACCACCCTGAAGTGAATCCGGCCCTGGGCCCCAGGGATCCGAGGCCCCATTTAGTGTAAACAGAAATCTGACTTTTTGCATTACTTCTGGTTAAACTGAAGTAATGTTTAGCCTGAAGGTGATCTGCCTTAATTAAACCATGCAATTCTTATTATCCAGATTTGTTTTGATTTAACCATGTGTTTGAATGCCTGTGAATATATTTCAATTTACTTCGTGGTATATCTTAAAGTGATCGGTCTTCATCTTGTTTAGAATTCCTCAAACTTCTAAAACTGTTTATAATCAGTTGGGAATCAGTCATGTCTGTTTTGAAAGGAGTACGAAGCTGAACATCTCAGTCCTTGACGATAAAGAGAAATATCCAGTTAGGATGTTGTCATTCAGTGTTTTTTACACGTTTATTTGCAGTGGTGGAAAAAGTATTTACACTGAATGATTTTTTTTTTTTTCTTTTTTCTCTTTTTGGGCCTTTTTTCTCACAACACATTGCCATTAAAAGATGCTACTGCCAACTTCCTAACTTATTAGAATTTTTTCTTTTTCATTTTCTTGATGGTGGGTGAGAGCAAATCAATCAAGCGAGACACTATGGCGATAGCCGTACTGCTCCACTTGTGGAAGCAAAATCAGTTGGACTCTTTTTGGCATCAAGAGAATTATTCTTATTGCCACATCGCCAGACAGGACATGTCACGTTTTGGTTAAGGTTTGAGGACCCAAATGCAGAGGCAGGAAGGCTGAGGAGATTTCTTGCAGTTTAATTGAAGAAAAAAGTAAACGAAGGCAGGAATCCAAAAATCCAACTTAAAATGTAAAGCAACCAGAACCATGGAGACATCAGGGGAAACCGAACACGAGGAGCCAGGGAGAGACGAGGTAGGAAGTAAACAGCAACTAGGACCCAGTGACGACAGAAGCAGCAACAACAGAAAAACCTGAGAACTAAAATATCCAGAAAATACAACAAAATAGGAATTAAACCAATTAAACAAGAATACATGGAGCAAAGTAAATCATAACAGAAGCAAGACCATGACAGGACACTGTCATGAAATAAATAAATAAATAAATAATTGTGTTTACGAGTAGACAATTAATATTTCTTTACCTGTTTGGCTCTTTTTCTGTCCACCAGCGTATAATTCTTAAAATGTCTTAATTTCTGTGACTATTCTAAGGACTTAAATAAATATTTTATCCCCTTTTCTCAGGTTCAGCTACATCTGCTATTGCTGGATCCATCACATTTTTACTCCTGGTTGGGTTGTTTGTGGTTGCCTTTTTCATTTTTAGGTGAGTGTATCCCTTTTACTTCTTCAAGCTGTTTACTATCTTTGTGAGATATCATGTGATTCTTTGTTTTGCTTATTTATTTCTTTGTCTCAAATTTCCAGGAAAAAGATGGCTTAAAGGCCAGCCTCTGAGATCAGAGAGAGTTCGGGTGAAAACCGGAAAAAGAGCTCTAGTGTTAGTCTGTCTTCATCTAATCATAGATCAGTTCTTTTCTCAGTCTGTCAGATAGTGAGATATCAAATATATATATATATATATATATATATATATATATATATTTGATATATATATATATATATATACGATAATCAGCATTATTTTGCTCTTATGTTTGCTGTATCTTTACTCCTCAGCAGAATTCTAGCCGACAGCTGGAGACTCCATCAACAGATCAAGATGACCTTTGCTATACTGCTGTGTCTTTCTCTAAGAAACAAGAGGAACCTGTCTATTCTAACTTTATTCCAGCTGAACCCAAAACACCTCAACATAAGGAGGAGGAGGATGATGTGGAGTATTCAGAGGTCATGGTCAAGAAGACGCCTGGGTTGGTTCAGAATGGCTTTTGTTTTTCTAAATCCAGTCATACTAAATTCAAGTCTTATAATGATAGCATTTTATAATTACAAAGCATATTTGTTCACAGCCCGGGAAACCATGATGCCTCTGAGAAGATATGTGCTCTGTACAGCCCAGTCAACAAAGTGGACAGATTATAAACAACACTCCACCTAGAAGACCTGTTCAATGGTTCATCAGCTTGCATTTGTTTCCTTTTAGGTTATCAGAAAAAAAACATGAAAGGTTTGCCGGTTCCATTAAAATACACACTCTGGAACCTGTGGAACACTTTGCCAAGACTGGGACTTGTTCAGTTTGCAAAACTGACTTATTTCTTTGCGGCAAATACCAAACAGGCAATCAGAACCTTCCTAAGATTCGGTTCCCGCTTGTCAGATGTCAAAGTCTTTCCTCTCTGTATCCCAGACATCTTCTGTTGGATTTATATCACATGACTGTGGAGAATTTTAAATAAAGAGGTTTGATATTATTTGAGCTTTGTGACATGGTGTATTATAGTGTTTCTCAACCTTTTTTTGACTTGTGAACCCCTTTGGGCCTTTTGTTGTACCATGGGAACCCCTCTCAGAATTGATGGTTGTCCAAAATTGTAACATCCAATAACTGAAATAAAGACTATTTTACGTATTTATTTAATTCAAGCATTTGATTTTTATAAAATGATGTATTCAAATTATAAATTATATATAAAAAAAACAACAACACAACAACAACACATAAACATGTTGCGCAGAATTCAGTAAGGAATCAAATTAAACACCAAATAAAATCATATTATAAACCTGTATTCATATAACTGGAGCTCCTCTGAATAACTACCTTATAATTAAATTTAAACTCAATGAATTGAGAACAAAATACAGAACAAACTTATAGTCAGACAGACATGCTTTCATCATAACACATGAGCTGCTTTGATGAGCTCCGATAGCTCAGTGTTAAATACAGCTGATCCCAAGCTGTTCTTTACATGCGGTCTGTTCCTCTGCTTGGTTTGGATATGTCAAAGTTGAAGGTGAAATCAAACATATAAGAAAAACTTACTTTCTGATTGATAAAAGGTTGTTTATTTTTTTTCAATTGGGCCCTTGCAAAGCAAAAAAGATCCCAGCCCGATTTTTTTTTACTACCTAAGAAATAAAATTCCCAAAAAAAAAAAAAAAAAAAAAAAAAAAAAACAATCCGCTGGACTTTGTTTCCAATTTTGAAGATGTTTCATTTCCAATCCAGGAAGCTTTTTTAATTCAAAATGAGCTTGAGGCATTATAGAGGGGACCAAAAAGCAATTGCTGCAACATATTGTATTGTATTTGCTTGTAAGAATTTAGATTAGAAAAGAATAAAAAATAAAGACGGAAAATAGAGAAAAAAGAAAAAAATATAGAAAAAGAAAGAAAGTATTGAGAATAAAATGGAGAATATCAGAATTTGATAGATTTTACAACATATTGTATTGTATTTGCTCTTAAGGATTAAGAATAAGAAAATGAATGAAAGAAAGAAAGAAAAAGAAAGAAAGACAGAAAGAAAAAAGAAAGAAAAATCACATTATGTCTTCAGAATAAAACGGAAAACATCAGAATTTAACAGATTTGCAGTCCTTACTTCTTACCAGTAGGTGGCAATATCGTGTAAATGCTTTTGTTTGGCATCAGTCTGTAGTAGAGGAAGAACACGCATCGCGTGAGGATGATGGGGAAAGCTTGGTGCGGATTGGATGAGCCGTAGTGACAGACACCGCCTCCTGGAACATTCCAACCAATCAGCGCTGGAGATCACCGCGACTTCCTGCCACTGTGGGATCTGCATTAAACACGAGATCAAGAAGCCTCAACGTTAATAATCGTTTTACCATAATTTACAAGTTTGTAGATTAAGTTCTGGACTCGGAAGCTGCTGACATTTTTAATATTCATTTGAACAAGAAGCTCAACAAGACTCGGAAACAAAATGGTAAGAAGACATTTCCAGACTAAGCTAATAGCGTTAGCCTGTAGCATTGCAGTTTTAGCAACTGCTTAAGTTTCCCTTGTTAAATACTTACAGCAGAAAATAGCTGTTTTTGGGTTTCCAGAGCGTTGGTATCTTTGTTTAAAGGACACATATCTGTCGAATTTCATTCCTTTTTATTTGCGTTTTCTGTCTCATGTTTTCCTTATTTAAATGCCCAATGAGGTATAAAGGACATTGTATTTTCCATCTTGCTGTGATGCTATAGTTATTGTTTTTATGTCTGTTGCTAGATTACTGTTTCGATTTCTGTTCATTAGCCAAATTGGATTGCTGTTTACCTCAAGGAATAATAATGACCTGAAATGTACTTGATTTCTGAATGATTCAGTAAAGAAAGTTTTTGTTGTTTTTTTTTTCTCATTGTTTTTTTTTTATTTCAGCCTCATCGAAAGAAGAAATCATTTATTGAAAAGAAGAAAGCTGTGACCTTTCACCTGGTCCATAGAAGCCAGAGGGACCCTCTGGCTGCAGATGAGAAAGCTCCACAGCATGTCCTCCTACCTGCTGCAAAGGTAAACCGACATATGTGGACAAATGAAGGCCGACTCGATATTCATCTTTGGGGCTTTAAACCAAAACAATATCGGATATTTATCAGCCGGAATATAAAAAAACAAACTAAACATGGAGATAAACATGATCTGCTTTGTCCAACCATAGTCCAACTCAGATTCTCATTATAACTTAGACTTAGACTTAGACTTAGACTTCTTTATTTGTCATTTTGTATGCACAGGGTGCATACAGAACGAAATTGCGTTACATACAGCTTATGAGCGTTGCATTGATATTTCACAATGGCACGAGTTATAGAAAAATACAAAAAGTGCAGCAGTGGTCAAAGTGTGAACAGTGCAGAGGATAAGAGACAGTGTGCAAGTTGCAGTGGTTCAGTGCAAAATGGCATTTGTGCAAAAAATGCGTTATTGAAAAATACAATGAGATGAACAATTTAAAGGGCTAAAAGTTAAAAGTTCAGCAGCATTTGATGCCCGATAATGTGCAATAGGTGCAGAGTTCGGATTGTGGATCAAAGGTTCAACAGTCTGATGGCAGTGGGGAAGAAGCTGTTGCACAACCTGGTGGATCTGCAGCGGATGCTGCGGAACCTCTTTCCAGAGGGCAGCAGGGAGAACAGTCCATGGTGGGGGTGTGAGGGGTCTTTGATGATATTACGGGCTCGGGACACACAGCGCTGTGATGAAATGTCCTTAATGGAGGGAAGAGGAGCCCCAATGATTCCTTCCGCTGTCCTCACCACCCTCCTCACATTCTTCCAGTCAGAAGCTCTGCAGCCTCCACACCACAGAGAGAGACAGCTGGTCAGAACGCTCTCTATGGTGCTTCTGTAGAAGGTTGTGAGGATGGGCGGGGGCAGGCGGGCTCTCCTCATCCTCCGCAGAAAGTACAAGCGCTTCTGTGCCCTCTTCACTAGAGATGAAGTGTTTACAGTCCAGGTGAGGTTGTCCGTGATGTGCACCCCCAGGAACTTTGTGCTGCTGACCACCTCCACAGCTGAGCTGTTGATGAGCAGTGGAGCATGGTGGGGGCGGTTTTTCCTGAAGTCGACGATGATCTCCTTCGTCTTCTCCACGTTCAGGATCAGACTGTTTTCACTGCACCAGTCCACCAGCTGCTCCACCTCCTCTCTGTAGTCCCGGTCGTTGTCGTCCCTGATGAGGCCCACCACCGTGGTGTCGTCCGCAAACTTCACGATGTGATTGGTGGTGAACCTGGGGACGCAGTCATATGTCATCAGGGTGAACAGCAGGGGGCTCAGGACGCAGCCCTGAGGGGAGCCCGTGCTGAGGGTGATGACATCAGAGGTGTTCTGACCGACCCGGACTGACTGAGGTCTGTTGGTGAGGAAGTCCAGCAGCCAGTTTCGAAGGGGTGTGTTGAAGCCCAGATGTTCCAGCTTTCCCACCAGGTGCTGTGGGATGATGGTGTTAAACGCTGAACTGAAGTCCAGGAACAGCATCCGCACGTGGGTGTTCTTCTCCTCCAGGTGGGCCAGGCTCAGGTGAAGAGCAGAGGAGATGGCGTCCTCAGTGGAGCGGTTTCGCCGGTAGGCAAACTGGAACGGGTCGAGTGTTGGGGGGAGACTGGAGACGATGTGTTCCTTTACCAGCCTTTCAAAGCACTTCATCATGATGGGAGTCAGTGCGACGGGCCGGTAGTCGTTGTAGCAGGTGACTTGAGGTTTCTTTGGCACTGGGATGATGGAGGCAGACTTGAAGCATGCTGGCACTGTGGCTTGCTCCAGCGAGGTGTTAAAAATGTCCGTGAGGACACCAGCTAGCTGACCTGCACACTCCTTGAGCACCCGCCCAGGTATGTTGTCGGGACCTGGGGCCTTCCGCGGGTTGACCCTCCTCAGAGTCTTCCACACGTCGGCTGTGTCAAGGCAGAGAACCTCCTCTTCCTGATGTGGGACAGCCTTCACTGCTGGAGTGCGATTTAGTGCCTCAAACCTCCCAAAGAAGTTATTTAGTCCGTTTAGGAAGTCAGCATCAACTTCATCCACCGGGGCAGGGGGCGTGTTGTAGTCTGTGATCGCCCGTATGCCTTGCCACATGCTCCTGGTGTTGTTGGCGTCGTGGAACAGATGCTGGATTTTCTGGTTATGGTTCCGCTTTGCTAACCTGATGGCACGGTTCAGGGTGGCTCTAGCTGTCCTCAGTGCCTCCTTGTCACCAGACTTGAAGGCTGAGTTCCGTGCTTTTAGCGCGTGGCGGACCTCCTCAGTCATCCAGGGCCGTTGGTTGGCTCGGGTGGTGATGGTCTTTGTTGTGCTGACGTCCTCGATGCAGTGGTTGATGTAGGCTGAAACAGTCATGGCGTACTCATCAACATTGATCTTGTTGTCATATGTTGCTGCTGATTTGAACATGTCCCATTCAGAGCATTCAAAGCAGTCCTGGAGTGCATCCATGGCCCCCTCCGTCCAGACCCTCACCTGCTTCACTGTAGGTTTTGCTCTGATCAGCAGGGGTCTGTATGCAGGAATTAGCATCACAGAAAGGTGGTCTGAGGAGCCGATGTGGGGGCGGGGGGCTGCTCTGAATGCGTCTTTTATGTTTGTATAAACTAAGTCCAGAGTGTTCTCTCCACGAGTAGCAAAATCCACGTGTTGATAAAAATGAGGGAGAACAGTTTTCATATTCGCCTGATTAAAATCTCCAGCAATGATGAAAACGCCCTCTGTGTGTGTAGATTGCAGCTCAGAGACAGTCCGATAGAGAACACTCATGGCCTCCTTTGTATCAGCGCTGGGGGGGACATACACCGCTGTGATGGTAACAACAGTGAACTCTCTGGGCAGGTAAAAGGGTCTGCAGCTAACAGTCAGAAGCTCTATGTCCGGAGAGCAAAAACTACCACAAATGTGATTCAAGAGAAAGAAACTAAATACTACTGAATAACAATAAGCTACTTTAATTTGAACGCTGTCAACATAAGACTATAAATACAAGATTTAAGTATTGCCTTAAATGTTTGGTTTTCTTCTCCTTACTGGTGCTGGAGCCCTGACTAAAGGCCAATTTATGCTTCTAATGCATAGCCTCTGCAACCGTTAAATCTGTCTCTGCCTCTGTGCGGGGGGCAAGGTTCTGCAACCGTCGTCGCGCAACAAAAAAAAATCCTGACTACGCATCGAGTGGTCTTAAAACAACGCAGACCTCAAGCGGAAGTGCGCAGACAAAAAGCAGCTGTGATTGGTCCTTGGTATGCCTTTCCAGCTGTCTGTGTGGACGTCCTTCTCTATTCGGTGCCGGAGTGCGCCAATTTTACAATGGACAATCACGACTAAAGGTGAATCGGTCTTTTTGCCAACTCCATTAACAGAACATGTTCCTCTTCGATTTGTAGCAACTCTAGATCCATCTGTGTGACTGTGATATCTTGAAGATGCACCATTGTTGTTTTGGAAGATAAACGCTTGCCGAAGTTCTCGCGAGTTCTCGGAATAGGCTTCCCCTCGCTTTTTGATGGGAAACTGCGTCCATAGAAATTCCAGACCGACGGTGCAGAAGCATACCAGCAAAACTGGTTCGCGACCAGATAAAAGCGACATTTGATGTGTCAGAAGTCTAATCTGCCCTTAAGTTTAACACAGCAGACGCTGCATCCAGTAGTTGTTACATCATTTTTGAAGTTGCTCCACACCTGATTGTTCACCTCTGCCTGGGATATGAATGAGTATACATTCAGTGTATTTTGTCTATTAGATTTCACTTCTACAGATGAGCATTCGATAATGGAAACATACAGCTAAAATAGTACCAGTCTGGCTAATAGTAGGTCTTTTGTATTTGATATATTTTTAAAAGCCTCACTCACAAAAATACCTTAGAAATATAAATTTGTTTTTTTTTCCAACACCTGAATAGCTCCCTCTTCCACTAAACATGAGGGACTAAACCAGATTTATGTATTGTCAAAACGTATCCAGCTCCTGTTTGTGAATCTTTATTCTCTCACATCTGGTTCTGTTGCAGATTGAAGTAAAATTGTTCCTGGGTTTCCTGTGTTTCACAGGTGGATGCAGAGAAAAGGCTTGAAGAGCAGCGAAACTTTGGTGTTTTCTTCGATGATGATTACGACTACCTGCAGCACCTGAAGGAGGCATCGGGTCCCTCAGAGCTGGTAGCCACTGGACCCTCCTACCCTGACAGGGGATCCTGTGATCTCAGAGACGAAGAGGAGGAGAAGGAGAAAGAGGTGGAAGCTGTGAGTAAGGAGCTTCCTGTGAGTTTGTAAAATAAATGTTGTTTAATAGATTTTATTTTACAAACTCCGGACCCAGCAGACAGTCGCTTTATAAAAAATGTAATGAAATTAAAACCCTTCAGTAACTCAGAGCTGCTCCTCTGCATCAGAACCATGTTTTGATTCCTGTTTGGTTTGAACAGGAAGCTACGCTCCACCTGCCGTCTTCAGTGTTTGCCTCAGAGTTTGAAGAAGATGTAGGACTTCTGAACAAAGCTGCTCCTGTTTCAGGTATTTCAAGCAAAAACAGACCAGATTTTAGATTGTGGCCAAAAATCATCGACCATAGTTGCTGATTTTTGATCATTCATTTAATCTGTTTAAACATATTTCTGTGGAAAAATAAACAAAGTCTGATGAATTTAGTTGTATTGTTCTCTTTCATAAATCTTTATTTATCACCTCAGGACCTCGATTGGACATGGATCCTGATATTGTTGCAGCTTTAGATGAAGACTTTGATTTTGAGGACCCCGACAACATTCTGGATGACGACTTCATCCTCAAAGCAAACTGCACAGACAGAGCTTTGGATGCAGAGTAAGAGGAGAGATTTGGAAACCAAAGCAGTTTCCATGATTTTAGGGTGATTCAGGTCTGGATCCTTTCAGAATAAAGATATCTGATGGTTATTTTAACTTTGGGAAACTACTCATTCTATTCAAGATCATATTTTAGGTTTTGATTCAACTTGTGGAGGTGTCTCCATTTCAACCTGAAAACGTTGATATTTTTTAGAAATTTGAGGCAGAGTTCCTATGCAGCTCTGAAAGGTTTGAAATAGGAAATGTTTCCTAGGGTCAACTGAAAATATAAACTTAATAAACACTTTATGTATTTCAGATACTTTATTAAACGAAATGCATTAGTATTTTCACAGACACATACAGGGTTCCTGCGGGTCCTTAAAAATTCTTAAAAGGCATTGGATTCTTCCAAATAAAACTAAGGCCTTAATTGGTATTAAAATGTCTTAAATTAGTCTTTCGTAGGTCCTAATTTTTAAAACATCAAAAATGGGATTTTTTTTTATTACGATTTATTTTTGTACGTTAATCTAAATAAAACCTTAAAATAGTTTTTTTAACGGTTCGCCATTATTGGTTCCGTCCCGATAGCGGAACCAATAAAGCGTTGTTGCGGCCGGGACATTTGGGAGATGAGCCATTAACTTTTTGTCTGGAAAACATGAGCAAGTGTAAATGGAACCAAAATTGTCTCCAGCCAAGAGTTTTCTCCATGGATAAAACCAGGGAACATACATGAGGCTCAGTGGATTTATGCAAGAAGTCATTCAAGCTCAGAACGATGGGAATTAAGGCAGTGGAGTCGCACATGCGAAGCACGAAACACAAAGCGTCAAAATGGAGTTACAGAGAAACAGCCGGTATTTCTCAGTTTGGTTCCACCCTTGTCTCTGCAACGCCTCCACTTATCACCAAATCAAACATACTAAGAAAACCATACAAAGAAAAATAGCTGCAAAAAAGACTTAGCACTGGTTATGTTGGGGCTTTAAAACTGATTTGTTTTGTTCCCTGCTAAAACAAAGTTTGTGAATTCAGTTAAATAATTGGTAAAATATATCTGTCATTTGTGTGTTTTTAGCTTTCTTCCTGTTTGGGAAGCTTTTCAACATTTGAAACATTAGTGCAGTGGTTTATGTTAAAATAAACCTTTGGGTTAAGTTGTCGCAAGCAGGTTTTTCTTGTGTTTCTTGTGAATTTGGTCTTAAATTTTTATTTCAAGTGGCATTAAAAAGTCTTAAAAAGTCTTGAATTTAATTTGCCTTATGCTGAAGGAACCCTGCCATAGATAATTCTAGGCCTTCATTACTGGTAATTTTAATAAAACCAGACCTCACAGTCTGATTGGTTCAATGTTTTCTAAGGAAAACCAGCTGATTGAATCGACCCAATCTAAAGCAATCCCTCACATCAAACAAGAAACCTCCAGCAGAACCAGGCTCAGAGTGAGAGGCAATCTACCGAGGCCCACTGGGGTTCAAGGAGAGAGAAGCAGAGATACAAAATAAAACATTTGATATTCTAATGATAAACCTGAACAAAATAATATAAAATCTGGGCGTTTTACAAAATATCTACCACCTGCCTAAAGGTTTTTTATTTTTTTTCGCAAAAGAAAATAAATGTAAAACCCATTAATGATTTTTATTGATGCAACATCACTATGATTTGATGGTTTACCCATCAGTATTTAGTTAAACGGCAAACCTCTGGACCCACACTGGAAAAAATCTAAATCTACACTTAAAATAAGAAAACACAATGGATTGTCTAATTTCAAGTGCATATTATCTAATTATCTTATTTTAAGAGTAAAAACACTCATTCAAACTTGTTTATTTACTTCCTCAAATTGAGGGTAAATACATTTAATTTAAGAATTTTTTACTTATTTCTAGAAGGTTTTTGCAGTGCACTTTTTTTGGATGGATTTTATTTTCAAACAGACTGAAAGTACCTGGACTCCCTTCACCTAATGTAGAATAATAAAGTCATCTTGTACGAATTTTTACAAAAATTTAATTCCTGATGGCAAAACAAAAAACAAATACAGAAAAGCAGTGCTATGGATCATTAAGCAGCGAATTTGGGCATCTTTTTGTTTCATGAGTACAAATAATCCCACCTGATTAGTTGTTAGTTAAAGATGTTATCACGGTAGTTGGATGTAAATTAGGGGCGGAACGGTTCACAAATTCCACGGTTCGGTTCGATTCACGGTTTCGTGGTCACGGTTTTCGGTTCGGTTCGATTCGGTATATGTTGATTGTTACACCGAAATCCCATAAAAATTTATGAAATTAATGAAAAAATCCCCCCAAAAATAATGGATTGTAATTATTTTAAATGATCCGCGAAAACCCTGGATCATTTCCGTATGTTTTGCTGCTTTGAATTTAATCATCTTGCGCATGCCCTCTACCATCTCCAAGGAACTCAGAGCGAGTGCGGGCTGTAGGCTTTGCTTTGAGCAGCCGGTCTGGAGCGCAGCGGGGGTTGCTGACGGAGTATGAGGGATTTCGGGGGTTAGCATGACATGTTGGTCATGTTGCTGTTAGCATAAACAAAACGTGTTGCACAATGCTTGCACACTGTTGCACTTTTATCCACAACTTTCTTTCCGCCGTCATCGTAGGTCACTCTAAATGCAAAGTGGTCCCATACAGCAGACCTATAAAGTGCTGCTGGCGCGTCTTCCAACTCCTGTTCTTTCCCACTCGCCATACCCACACAATTCTCCACAACAACTGATTTTTTCCCTGCTACACCCGGCTACGCTGCTTCGCTTCTTCTTCTTCTTGTTTACTACTGGTGGTTGGCTTGGTCGCAGTACCGCCACCTTCTGCTCTGGAGTGTAATCACTTCGCCTATGAGAAAAAGGAGCAGCGCATGAACGAACGCAACACACGCAAACCGAACCGAGACAGTCAAACCGAACGGTTCGGACGGTTTTCATAAATCGTCCCATACCTAATGTAAATATTTTATATTTTAGCTAGATTTAGTCTAGATTGTTATAACATTTCCAGGAAATTAATTAGACATTTAAGTCTGCAGAAGAAATATTGTGAAATATAAAATGCTGAAGTTATGACTGATAGTGTTTTTACACATTTTCTAAATGTTGTCTAATTTTCCTTTTATTGTGATTCTAACAGAGGATACCATGATGAAGATGATGATGATGAGTGGGAGGACACAGACGAGGAAGGCGACTTTGACTCAGAGGGAGGGTTTTCAGGCGACGAACGAACAGAACGGGACGGTGAGGATGGAGAGTTTCTGTTCATGAACGAGGAGACAAAGAGTCGCTTCACCGAATACTCGCTGACCTCGTCGGTGATGAGGAGGAATGAGCAGCTCACCCTGTTGGATGACCGCTTTGAGAAGGTAAGAGCCCTGTCACACCATGCTGATTTAGCCAGCGTATGCCCGAAGTCCCAGAATCTCCTAAAACGCTGGAATACGCTGAACTTTTTATGTACTTTTTCAAGTTTGGGCGTATACAAAGAGCAAGGGTCACCAATTAAAAATTAGCAGGGTCCGAAAACAAGAAAAGGTCTGGAGACATTTTTAATTATAATTTGTTGCTTTAAGCAGAATTTAACACTGAAATAAAATTAGGTTTTTATGCATCCATGTTATACACTGAATATTCAAATAGAAAAATAGAAAAAAAAATAGAAAACTTTTCCATTTTAAAATCTAAAGTGTTTTTTGAAGTAGAGAACAACAGTCGTTCAGTTTGGTATATAGACAATTTCCTGATTCACATATTTTATAAAAACACCTGAACTGACCGTTTCTTGTTTCTGTCTTAATGTTGGCAGTGGGCTTTATGCTGCCCTGCAAGGCTTTAAACCTGGGTTTGAATGGAGACTAAGCCATTCTCAAGCACATATCAAGGAGCTCATTTTGAGCCTGGATCCAGATTTATTGTTGATTCTGTTCATGGTGGAGAATCCTGCTTCACAGCAGCAGGTTGAGCCAAACATCCTCTAATTGTGCAGGGTCATCTTTGAGCACCATTTCACTTTTCTTTCACCAGTTCACCGCAGTTCTTCCAGCAGTCCACACTTTCTCTGCTCTCTATTCTTTCCCATCATCTGGTTTGCCACAGGTTTGCCTGCTGTGTCTAAAAGTAGCAGCAGCAGTAACCCAGACTCATAGCTCATTGGCATCACATGCAGCCTGGTCCCGGATGGCTTTACCGTATTAACAGGAGAAGCGGCACAAGTGGAGTCAGACACTGCCGTCGGACAACATGCGATAATTTATAAATGTTTGAAATCAGATTGGGTCCGGATCAGGACCACGGTCAGCTAATCCGTGACCTCTGGCATAGAGTATTCATAACAAGCCCAGAGCCAGTGTCCAGAGGGGGGCAGCAATGGGCCCAGAGACGCCCGGTCTGCACCTAAAAGGCGCAGTCTCAGTTATGTGTGCCATTATTGTATTTAACACACACATAAGGCGCACCGGATTATAGGGCGCGGGTTTTATATACCGGTAAATATCCTCTACTACGTTTAAATACCTCTACTGCATATTTAAAAATGGAGCGGGAGCAAAACTTAGTATGTTTGTGCTTTATTCATGTATTTATTACAAAGTATTAATCAAACCCATCAAAGTCATCATCCTCTGTTTCTGAATTAAACAGCTGCGCTAAATCAGACATGCCCATTTCCCCTTCTTCGCTGTCAGTCACTTTCCGTGCAGCGCGGCTCCTCGGAACGCAGGATAAGCCCCTTGACATGAAAAAATCTCCCTTTTTAGGGGGTCCTTAAAAAAAGACAAATTGATGTCTAAGAATGACACCACAGTATATACACTACAATAAAATACATACATATATAGATGGTCTGTAAGAAAAGTTTAGAATCCAGTTAGTAAATTGTGTTCCAACAGTGCTAAACGGATTAACCCGAATTAACTTGGTTCAAATGAGACACCCAAATTAACTTTTCTTCAATTTCCATTTCTTTTTCTTTTAAAGTTCATGAAAACTTTACACTTTGAAGGATCAATATTTAAACAAGTATTTCTTGCTACCAATGAAAATCTCAAATCTATTCAGGAATTGTACTGATTTAGGATCAGAAGCCATCGTCAAATCGCCCACAACCCAAGCAGGGCGTTAATTCAGTTGTTCATCTGCTGGTTTCCTTTGATTATTACTTTATAAATAATTTATCTCATCGCCTCTCAGTTCTGGGTTAGTTTAAGTGGATCAAATGTTTCAAACATTCTAAGATTTGTTCACAGTAAAGAAGCTTAATAAAATCTTTAATTTATGAAGTAGATCAATAGGACTTATTATTTATCTTTAGATGATATTGTGCATTAGAGATTTACCTCTAATCAGTGTCACTAACTGGGATTGTTGGTGTGAAAGCTCCGAGCCTTCTGCTCTTCAGCATTCTGATCTGTTTTTTTTTTTTTTTTATGGAGTTTTTAAAGAGTCAGTGAAACAAATATGAATGTAGGACAACCACTTCCAACTGGGACCTTTTCTTGTATTATTTTCCGATATGGATAACATTGTATGAACTGAATAAACGAGAAGTTTAGATGTTATGTTACTGAGAAATGGTAGTGATGCAGTGATGTTATTGTTTTCCAGTTTTATGAACAGTTTGATGATGATGAGATCGGTGCTTTGGACAACGCTGAGCTGGAGGGGTTCATCGGACCGGACAGCGGCCGCCTGGAGGAAGTCATCAGAGACTACTTTAAAGAAAAACAGAAAGAGTGAGAGACTCTTCTAATCCTTCATTCACAAATTAAAGTGTTTTTCTAACATCTTCTTATGGTGTTTTTGGATCAGCTCTCTGAGGCCTGAGGATTTGGGTCCCAAAGAACTTCCTGTCGTGAAGGAGGAGGAGGAAGATGAGGAGGAAGAAGAGATGGAGACGGTTGTTATCGAGGCTCCTCAGGAGAATTGGGACTGTGAAACCATCATCAGTAAGTCTTTAACTTGAGGTAGATGCTGGGAGGTTTTTTTATTAAGCAGCAGTTAGCATAGCCTGTGAACTTTATATCACAACCATTTTACCATCTTTTGCTTCTTGGATCCATACAATACAAAAATATATATATATTTTTTTCTCTAAATAATTTTATGTTCCCTTGTTTTAAAGAGGTGAAAAAATCCAAAGACACTGGAATAATATTTGCTTTTAGATTAAGAAAAAAACACATTACCTTAGTTCAAGTGCATACTATAAGAGCAAAATACCCCATTGGAAGATAACCTAATATTTTTGCTCAAATTAAAGAGAAAATGCATTTATTTAAACAACTTTTTACTTCCTATTACCTCAGTTTTATGAACGTAAAAGGGTCGCGGACAGATGACGTGCAACATTCTGACATCAAATGCAATTTATTTGTAAATATATTTGACAGTCTCGTTTCTTGTTTAACATCAGACCCAGTGGCACTGGTGAGGCGTCATTGGGTTTGATTGATAAAAAAAAAAAAGGCATTAAAATCTGGAAACAAAACTATCAATAGATTCATATATTTTTTTTCCTTCTCATATTTAAACTTGTAGTAAAACTTATTTTCACAGCATCACTTGACTTGGAGGTCTATACCTTTTAGCTATTTATGTACAGATACTGGAAAACAAACTAAATAGCTAGCCTGGGTGCCATTCCGAACTTAGTCCCGCCCACGTTTGAGTTCAGGAAGTTCGGTCTGGCATTGCTCAATAGTAGCGCGAGTATGCTAGCCCAATATCTGGTCAGGCCAATCAAATTGTCAGGGCGGGCTTTATACGATGATGGACAGATGATCAACAGTAACGTAATCAACCGCGTCACCAAAGCGCGCTTGGGTGACAACAACAATGGCTGCCGCTGGAGAGTTGAGGTGTGAGTAGAAATGTATTAATAACCTTACCTCTGTAATGGTTCTTTGCGTTTTTGTACCGGTTGGAGTTGACGGATTGGGGCAGAACTTCTTCAGAGTCCTGGGCGTCTTGGAAGGAGTAGGCTCCCGGTATCTTTTCTCTGATGCCTCAGATGAAGACGGTTCTTCCGGCTGGTCTCCTTTGTCGTCTGCCCATTTTTTTAACACAAGCATGTCGCGTTCCAACCGTGTTAAAACGCTCTTCACAGGACCGACAAATGCGATGCGATTTATTTGACGTTTTGTAGAGTTGTAATCCTAAACGGAGAACTTGATTGTATGTGCATTCGCCTTTAATGTTTTTCTTAAAAATGAGGTTCGTGTGTTGAATGACTCCTTGTATCCTCGGGTTCTTTTTGCAACACCGGCAAAAATCGTTCACGCTCATCTTCTTATTCTAGGCGTGTAACTGCACGCTTTGATTTTTGTCGACAACAACTATGCGTTGCTTAACATACGTCACGCACTCCGTTGCTCTTATTGGTTGTAGGTCTATCCAATTGAGTGCAGAGGCATTTTTTTTCCTGGTTTGTTTGAAACATGCCCCATAATCACAGCTCTATGGAGCAGCATCAGACTCATATTCTGACTAGAATTGAGTAGGACTACGTCAGGCTACTAAATATCATCCAGATAAGAGAAATAAATGAATTTTCTATGTCTTCCAACTTGAAAACCTACAAACTAGTGATGAAATAAAATCTGTTCAGTGATGTCATTTTCTGACGATGATTTAATGGTTTAGGTTTGATGGAGTCCTCTGGAGTTTAACCTCAGTTTAAATCTAAATGTTTTGTGAGCAGAAGAACAAACCAGATGAATGAATTCAGAAGAGTGCAGCAGATCAAGTAAGACCAAAATGGAGCCATTTGACCTTAATGGGAAATATTGTGTGGCAGAAATCTGATGCCAATTGTCCACCTTAGCACTTTACCTCACAGTGAGACATGGTGATGGCTGCTTGCCAGAGTGATTGGAAATGGGTTGGGAATAAAAACTGTGCAGCCCTGGAAGGAAACATGTTGGAGGCTGCAGGAAACTGAGCCTCAGTTCAGGTTCTGGCAGGACTGTGGCCCTAAACGTACAGCAGAAAACAGCCCTGTTTATGTCCAGATCTAATTCAATATTCAGTCCGAAATACCCAAAAAACAAAACAGATTTCTTCAGTGGAGAGGCGGGTAAAGGAAAATCAAGCCAAAGAGTTTTCAAACATTCAAAGAAGAAAAGTTTTAATATTTAACTCTGATTAACCACTAGATGTCACTAAATGCTCAAAATGGCCTGTTTGGATCAAACCTCTTAAGCAATCCTACTTTACATTATCTACAGCATTTTCTTCTAACTAAAACTTAAAATATGATGAATTTTCCCAAACCTCTGAAGCATTTGGAGAACATTACAGAGCTAAACTTTTAGTATTTACATTTTCTGCAATTTGTCCATTTTCTCTTATTTTTAAAGATCCATTACAGTTTTTGTTGAGATGAAAATCTGAAAAAAAAAAAAAAAAAAAAAAACTCGGAATCAGGTTTTTAGCAGGATTTTGTAGGGGTGGGGTATCTATTATAGGAACATTTACATTTGCGAGAGTAAAAATAATCCAAATACATTTAAAACTTTATAAAATATTTTCTGTTTCTTCAGGTTATTTTAAACTGAACTGAAATCAAATCAATTTTATTTCCAAATTCAACTTAGACAGTTAACAGAGACTCATAGTGGATGAGTCTGTGTGTGAATTAAATGCAGGGAGGATCTATTTAAGTGCAACAGCTTATATATATATATATTTACCTCCCACTTTTTAATTCAGGGGGATTAGTGGAAGCTTTGCACATGTGTGGCTCTTCGCCCTCCGACTGCAGAAATAAGCTGCAGTGTTTTGGAGGAGGGAGGGGCTCGGCTGCTCATCGCTGAAGAGGAACTCAACTGCTTTCATGATGTTACCAAGATAGGAAATATTCTCTAGATTTGTTTTTTTCCTTAAAAAAACAACTAAAAAGGGCCTGAAAAAAAAAGTCAGTAACTATAGCAACAAAGTAGCTGAGTATGAACATCGTTTTCACCTGCCGTGATAGCTGATGGCATTCTTAAAGAGGATTTATGTTTTTAAGCTGCTTCATTCATATTTATGTGCAAATAAGGAGGTTTAAAAAACAGTTTCAACTGCCGTTACGCTGATTGAAAGTTGGGGTATTTGCATATTTCCATCTTAGAGTTTGAGCTTAATCAGCAGTTGTGGTGAAATGCCCTGGGGAGGAATCCCACGTCTGTCAAATGGCCGTTACGCTCATAGAAAAATGGTGACTTTTTTAAAGTTACGGTCCGTTTAGCTAAAATACACCCACATTTCACTGTAGCATCCAGTGTGGATGGGTTCTACTTCAGTTAACCATTAATTCCTTTTTCTTTTTCAGGTACGTACTCCAACCTGTACAACAGACCTAAAATCATTGAAGAACCACCTAAGGTATAAAAAGAAGATTAACACACATAAATCTGAAATAATGGGTCAGATTCCCCATGTGAGAGTGTTTTTGGTCTGTGTAGAAATCCCAGGATGTACAGATTGTTTTGATAGGCTGAACAGTAACAAGAGAAACACTCAGAGATGAGTTCTGCTCTGATTGTTCTATAGTGCAGCGTAGAACACCCGATATCTTGGATCATGAAGCTACTTCTCAAGTTCAGACTAGTTTAAGACCAAGAACATGGAACATTATGGAGGATACATCTTTAACCTGTAGAGCTGTTCTGCTGCTAATTGCATAAAAATTAGATCTAGATCAGAAAGGATTTTCAAACATGTAGCTTAAGATGTTTGATTATAGATTTATATTTAACTAGTTTACTGCTTCAAAAGTGTTTAAAAGTAAACCAAACCAGGAGTTTTTTTATTTTTTATTATGGTGTTTAATGAGTACATTCTGGCCACTCTACATCTTTGTATGTCCACAGCCAAAGCCCATCCGCGTGTCCAACAGGACCGGCATCCCTCTAGATGTGCTGCCTTCCAAGAGCCTCACAGCCAAACAAGCGGAGCGCATGACCAGAATCAATGACTCGGATCTGCCGCGTGTTTCGACTCAGCCGCGGAGCAGAGAGGAGAGCAAAGAGGAGAAGAAGGCTAGGAAGCAGGCCATCAAGGAAGAACGGAAGGTGAGGAAGCTTCTTGGAGCTCCTGCTGCCTCCATCAGCTGCTCAGTCAGCTTCACTCGTCTGAGATAAATGGTTGAAAACCATTTTGGTGACATCAGAATTTTTAGCATCACAAAGCTGGCTTTGTCACCATGGTAACATGTAGATTAGAAATCTAGTCCATGTGAGATCATGTCAAATAGATGCCAGGAGAAGCTGATCAACATTTCCTTCTCTTACTTCAGCAGAAAATTTCTTAGATGTCTCAGAATAATCTTCTGTACTTTAAAGGGGAAAGTTCATACTTTTAAATCCTTTTGTTTCTGTCGAGCACTTATGGCTCTTAAAGTGGATTCCACTCCACACCATTTAGTCTTCTTTGTTGTTTGATATAAGAGTTATATATTCTCTTCCAAAACAGATTAACGGATGTGATCAGAGGCAGACAAAACAGATAATATAGAAAACTTTTGGATGAAAAAATACGACTTGGCCCAGGAACAAAATTAAGAGATTTATCAAGCACTTGGAGAGACTGAATTCACCTTTTCTGTTCTCCTTGAGACTCCAGGTACACAACAAAATATATTTAATGTCTAAAAAAAGTGGATTAATCATTAAATTAAGCCAGGCACTGCACGATTTTTTTCTTTCAACCGCTGCATGCTGCACAGCTCACGATGTTCTCAAACTGTGCGGCCAGACGCTCTGATGTGATCTACCTGCTCACACTGTACGTCTAAAAACCACATCGGACTCAGCTCCACAGTGAGATGGCGCTGCTCGGACTCGTCTATCCAGAAGCCAACGAAGTAGAAGAGGAATATTTATTAAACAATTTGTCCAAATATGTTGTCGCCTTTTCTTTTAGGGCTTTCAGCACAAAATTGCATAAAGACATGGCTGATCAAACAATCAAAATATTCCCGCACAACTGGAGAAACGGCCCAAGAAGGGCAAAAAAAAAAAGTACAGTGTATGCCCGGCTTTAAGCTGAAAATAATTATCCTAATGGTCATGTTATTTAAATTGCAGCTCTAGTCCATGTAGAAAGTCAGAAGTTTGCTGAGAGAAATAATTTCCTTTTAACAAAGGGGTTTTAAAATGGGAGTGTTGCACCAACTGGTAACTCCTGCCTCATGTCTGAGTAGTATTCATTTGCACTTTCCTTCTTCGTCTTCCTTCTTTTTAATTTTTTCACCATTTCCAAACTATAGTTGGTAACCTTAGTCTCACCAACAGGCACACCTGCTTCTTAATTTAAGGATGAAACAAAAGCAACACATGTGATTGTTTTTATCTATAGTCTCCACCCTAAGGCGTTTTTAAAGGGGTAGAATTTGCTGAAGGCATTTCTGGTTTCTATGGGCAGAGACACGCCCGGGCAGCAACAAAAGTGTGACGTGTGAATGTTTCAACTGCTCCAGTTACATTCCTCCGTTTTCTTTAGGAAAGGAGAGTGGAGAAGAAAGCTAACAAGACGGCGTTTAAGGAGGAGAAGGCACGACAGGAGAAGCAAATGTTGAACTTGAGGACAAACATCCAGGGCCTGAAGCTTTAATGGCGGACCGAAAGAGCTCAACAGGTTCTTCAATCACTCCAGCGAAATGGGACTCCTCGCATAAAAAAGGACTGCATTGACCAATGGAGAACCGGATGGTTTCAGGAAGTTCTACTGGAGCTTCAGAGACTTTGGACTAAATAAACCAGGTTCCACAGGGTGACAAAGGGTCAAATCTGTCTCAGAAGTGGGATTCCTGTTGGAAGATTAATGAAATCATGTCGAACTGAACAACCACTCAGTATCTTGGATATTTTAATAAAAACGTATAGAAATTAGTTTGCTGTCGTGCTCTGTTTCTCTGCCAGCGATAACGATGACCTGCCGTTAGAGCGGCTTCTGGCAGAGCTACATGTTGACATTCCTCCTCCTCATGCAAACTAAGAGCAGAACAAAAAAAGTTTTAAACATACAGATATTACGTCCAAAACAAAGAAAATTTCCATCAGAAACTGGCATCTTGGGTCAGTTCAAGTAACTTTACAATACATTTCACTTTTACACACTTACACAGGTATATATATATAAAAAAACCCCACCTCACAATAAAAAGGTAAATATCTATTGAGACTCTCTTGTTGCGTTTAGAACCAGTTTTACAGGTCGCATGCTTTCCGTCCGTCTTGGGTACGACTTTACAAAAACAAGCCAATTACCTTTGGAACAGCATGTGGATGGAAAATCCCAGGGATGAATCAATAAAACAATAAAAACTTCCATTGTTAAACTTTAATTCACTGAATAAATCTTGAATTAAAAGAGTGCAAATAACCAAAACCTTTCACGTAAAACATTGTAAACCTGTGCAGCCTTGCTTTAACATCTGAAAAGAGGCGCCAGCAGAGGGGCTCCACTAGTAAACATGGAGGGGGAAGGATAACTAGCTGGTTATCAACCCAATAAGTCCAAATACTGATGTTTCTCTTGTGCCTGAGGTACAGATCAGCTTGCTGTTAAAACACCAGTTAAAAAGAAGGTTCCTCTACTTCGTGGAGTAGCCAGTGACCAAGTCTCCATCTCCCATATCCATCATCACTAAGTGGGGGGAGTCATAAGGTGATGGTTCCGCGTCGGGGGTACCTATAGAAACGCACTCAGTCTTTACAGAGTCAGCATCTGTTGCAGACATCAAACCCTCTTCTTCCTGGTGTGGGTTTCTGTTCAGATATTCTTTCAAGGATCCTGTGGCACTAGCATGGTGAGTACAGTCAGAGCCGTTCCCCTGGAGGTGCTCAGAGCAGTTATCACCGTCGGATTTGATTGAGGGTCTGTCGCAAGGCTCAAAGGTTGAGACTGGACTGATCTTTGGGTCTTTGGGTGTTTGAAAGAACTGCTGATTCTCGAATGCATCAATCTGTGTTGGAAAAAAGCAAAGTCAGCTGGAAGAAAAACCACAAGATAAAACCTTTATTCCCCAGGCGATGCGTTTACCGTATGCTTGAAGAAGGGGACCGGCGTTTCCATGGTCCACGCCTTCACTCTACAGATGAACACTACTGCAACGATGGCCACCACAATAAAAATAGACCCCAGTACGGCGGCGAACACTACTGCTCCATGCACGTCATCTGCTCCATGCACGTCATATGATCTACCCACTTTAGTCACTGCTGGGTCTACCAAAACAAAAAAAGAACTCAGTCAGGATTTAAATGGGTCCTGTCTGGTACTACAATTACAAATTTCTACACCAAGAGATCACTCAGGTTGATCATATTACGGCGCCATGCTGGCTCGCTTGATCCATTTGTTAGTAAACACAAGCACTGTATACATTCAATATAACAAGATTAACATTACATATGTGTGCAATAAGTAAACCAGAAGGTAATTAAAGAAAGTCAGCATTCTCAAACAGAGGTAAGAAAACAAAGTAAAAGTCGAAGATCAAATGTAAAGAAAGCCCCAGAAAATGTATAAAGTGTTTGTGTGTGTCTACAGCTATGCCTTAGCTCTGACAGCTGTATTCGATCAACAGGCTGAAACTGGTTCTTAACTTAGATACTAGAAAATGTTGATATGCAAGTTGAGCTGCACATCAACCATCACCTTCAACCAACTTTATGAAAACACACAAAAGGTAAGGGTGTTTACACCGGGTTTGGAAGCCTTAGTGAGCCGACGCTTGTGATGAAAAGTGTGAAAACCACAATTTTAAAACTACTTTTAACAAAAACAAGGTGTTCCCCTATACATTTTTTTTTCATTTCAGATATGGCACTGATGACAGATTCTCAGTCATCCAGGTCATAGTCGTAAAAAAAAAAAAAAGAAAATTAAAAACAATCCACTCAATTGAAAAAGCTTCCTGGATGGGAAGTGAAACATCTTCAAACTTGGAAACAGAGTCCAGTGGATTGTTTTTAATTGGTCGATGCCGATATTGACCCCATAAAATATCATTATGAATCATACCAGCATTTATTGCTTATTTTAGAAAAGGCTTAATCAAATAATATTACTAAAACAGAAACTAAAATCATAAAATTAACTGCTGAGTTACAGAAACTTAACAGAAGCAGAGGGTTTCTATTGGCATGAAAATCTTAGATGTTTTAGATGCAGGGAGATAAAATCAGAAATTAGTTTTTTTTGTTGCTAATATTGGATCAATATTGATATCGGGTCATCCCTAATAAAATCAGCATTATGCTTAAGAGGAATACAAAAAGAACCTTCCTCTGCACCCGACCCCGGATAAGCGGAGGAAGATGGATGGACAAAGGCTTTGCTGTAGAGTCAATGATAATGAAAGCTAATGTGTTCAGTCACCACATGTTCATCCAGGAGAAGCACGTCCTGTAAAGCCAATGGCTGGATGTAGTCAGATGGTTTTTCTTGGAGAGAAAACTTTTAACCAAACTGACTGTATGATTGGATTGGATTTTCACAGAGATAAATGAAAGCAATCAAAAATAAATGGACTTCAGAAATCCCACCGGTACGGTGTCGTAATTTAAATATTTTTTCTCTTCCCCCCCATCTTATCTGACACTTTCATTTCTAAGAGCTACAACCCCAGTAAAATTATTTATGGGTATTACTTGTATGTTAAAATTTTTTTATTTTTATACCTGATTATTGCCAAGTTTTTAGAATAAAGAAATCCCCTAAATGGAACCTTTCTGACGACATGAAGTAGGCTAAAAGATCCCAGTAACCAGCCCTGATTTGAATAATTGAAGACAGAGTCAATTTTTGTGACATCATGTAAATAAAAGTATTTGGCATGGCCAACATCTAGAATTACATTTGATTGAGATTCTAGACTTTGGCCATGATTGGGCTAAAAGTTTCTTCAGGTTAAAATTAGAGGTCATCACTAAATGATTTTTGGCTTCAACCAATGAACTCATCAACTGAAAAATGCTTTTAAGATGTACTGTTTGATTTTAAAATGTATTTAATCATCTGAGACATTTGTGTCAAAAGCCTAAGAATGAAGCACTGTTGATTTGTTTCTTTTAAACGTTTAGATACTAAAATCTCTCTTAGGATGACTTGTGTTCCAAGGCAACACCCCCACCCCACCCTTTTTTATTATCATTTGTTACTTACAGTGACAGCTTTTGTTCGTCCGGAATTCAACTTGTTCAGTACCAGTATCGCCGAATATCAGAAGTCCATTTACGGTGATGCAGCCCACGTTGGGGATTTTCCTACTACTCTTGCAGTCGATGTCCTTCCCTATGCATGATTCATCGAACTGAAATCATAGAATCATTACAACCATTACTTTCTACTGGAAATTGTATTTTACTCTATAAGCAGCTCAGTCCAGTCGGTTGAAACATTGGGATAAAAGTCAGGGAACTGAATCAATTAACACTCAGAGACTTCAGGATGTTCTGTTTTTTTCTCTTCAGACATCCAGGAAAACTGCCATCAAACATGGAGCTTTAAAACACTAAATGCTGCCTTCTGCACATGGGCTTCATGTAGAGTTTGATTTCATTTTCCAGCAGGACCAGTTACAGGCCCACAACTCCAAAAAGTACCAGTATCGGCTTTAATAACTATGGTTACACTGTGCATTATTGATCTATATCCCGACCTTAAAAATCATTAAAAGAAGGAGCCAACAGCCAGAAGCTAAAGGCCACCATCAAAGCAAACCGGGCTTCCAATACTCCCAATACCAATGCTGCTACTATAAGATTTGAAATTTCCTTAGTACCTGAATACCTTTTAATAACAGAGTTAATAGAAGCACTTTGTGTAGAATATCTAATTTTCTTTTTTTAAATTGGAATTAATAAAATCAATTTACTGATATTCTAAATGAGCTGCAGCTGCATCTATTTAGTCACCTATTGGGAAGTTTGGACCTGAGCTCTAAAAAGTTGCAGTTCTTACAAATACAGTCTGCATGAGACTTTAAAGGTACACTATGCAACCGATGTTGATTTTCCAACGAGGCTCCCTCCAGAGGGTGAAAGTAAAAGTGCACTGTCGTAAATATGCTCAGTTGCTCTCCTGGTTTCTCCGTCAAGCCAGGCGCGGTTGTTTTGAGCTTAGCAGACAGGCGAACGCAACAAATCACCATGTCTACTGCGGTAAGTGACTATTTTGTTCCAATTTTCGAGTTTGAAAATTCAGCATGTTTTCATACATTGTTTGTTATGGATGTGTCTAAATAACAAAGATTGTAGTTAGCCAAGTTCGCGCCGTAAAGCAAGACCGACTTTCGCGATGCACGAGACTTCTGACCCTGTGGGTCCGGGCCGAGGGCTCCTGCAATTGCAAGTACGGTATTTCCCCTACAGACCACCAGGGCGGCCGAGAAAACCATTGTTCAACCTGAAATGACTCATTTAATCATCCAAAACGTTATGAAACACATTAACTGAAACATGTTGCATAGTGTGCCTTTAAGATAATCCTCCACATAAGAGAAGTCTCTGACAGCCCCCCTATTTGAAAATTCCTGCAAACTTTCAAGAAGTTTACAGTTATAAAAGTAGCTGTAAATAGCAGCAGTTGCACCAAAAGAAAATTTACATTCTTTATATGCTGAATATATAAAGAATTATATATTATATATATTATAATAATCAAATATTACATTGAAGGAACAGATTCCCATTGTGAAAAAAAAAACACCGGATATTTAGTTTCTACCTTTGAAAACAAAATTATGTTTGCATATAGTATATGTACTTATCCATATAAATGCATACAGACAAAACAGGTTTGAAATCAACTTATGCGTAGCAAAAGTTTACTTACATCGCCTTTATCTGAAACATCATATTTGAGTTCTGGGGAGTTTTTACAGCAGTTATTATTTAATTTTTTGTAGTATCTGAATGGATTTTGGAACTCAACTGAAGTAACCCCATCAGCCGAACGTAATGTTACAGGAGGGAAATCCAACTCGCCTGAAAGAAGCAAAGATATTTGATTTAACTGAAATGTAACCATCCATGCAGTACAAGCTGGAAGCTGAAACAGGATGCTTTGCTTCCTGTCCAAACATTCCAATGCAACTTCAGTCAAGCCTCAGTGCCTTACGAAAGCTATTCAGATTTTCATCCTTACATTTTGTCATGTTATGATCAAAACGCTGTGTATTTTATTGTGAATAAATGCAAAAAACCAACATGAAGTAGAACAAAACTCTGAAAGATGAAAAAAAATTATTTTCCCCCTAAAATAAAAATAAAAAAAACATCTCTGCGGAATCAAATGAATGAAGCCCTGAACACATCGAATTGGATTCAGAAAATCGTGTTGAATGAGGAAATGGCGTTTAACGCTCACTGAAACACAATTTGGATGATCACACCCCACACGATTTTCTGCAAGGGGGCTGCATAGCTGACTGAGATAGCCGCCCCCCCACCCCAGAATCTATTTTAGTTGGACTATGAGCCATTCAGCTGCAATTTCATGGGTCTGACAGGAAGAGAGAGGCTGTTACAAAGTAAAACATCCACTTTAAGGGAATAAACTAAATTAAATGTGTTAATCACATGGGGAAACAGCCTCACCTCGCATATGTAGCAAGTAGGACAGACTCGTGCAAAAACCAACTAAACATTTAAAAAATAAAACTGTCCTAAAAACTTCAGGAGAACAGAAAAAGGACATACGGAAATAGTGAGTCACTTTGAGCCTCACAAAAACAAAATCACGAGGAGCAGAGTTATCACCCTCCCCTCTTTATAAAAAAAAAAAGAAAAACAAAACAAAACTTCAGTAAACCTCACAGATCTCTTAATCATCCCTCTCTGCCTCAGTCAGCATATAAACACCCTTGTTTATAGATGCTGGAGATCGGCCTGTTTTCCAGTGTGGCCCTGTTTCTCTGATTGTGACTGAGTGGATGTGCTCTCTTCGTCCTCTGACATGGGAGCTGGCTAGGAGCTCGTCTGCCTGGCTGTGCGTTTCCTGGACGGGCCGCCTTTTACAGCTGCTTTTTGTATCTCTGCTTCTGCCTCCTTGAACCCTAGTCGGCCTCAGCAGATGGCCGCTCACACTGAGCCTGGTTCTGCTGGAGGTCTCTTCCTGTTAAAAGGGAGTTTTTCCTCTCCACTGTCGCTACAAGCATGCTTAGTGTGAGGGATTGTATTTGAGTCGATGAGTCAATGCAATCAACTGGTTTTCCGTAGATAGAAAACTTTGAATCAAATTGACTGTATGATCTGGTTGAACTGTAAAGTGCCTTGAGATGACATGTGTTGTGAATTGGCGCTATATAAATAAACTGAATTGAATTGATTAAACCGTTCCACGGCGTTTATTGCCGTGTTTTTCTTTTCTTTAAACGTAGTTCTGTGTTTTTATTATAGGCATATAAACATTCCTTATCTGTTCTGGTTTGTGATGCTGGACAGACTCGTTAAGCGGGGCTTTGCTATATAGCTGTGCCAGTGTTTATTTATTTATTTAATTTTTATTTATGATACGTTTTCATAATCTGTAAAGGTCATATGAGGGGAATCGTTTTCATGTGTGCTGCACAGAGACAGAAGTGAAAAAATCTGCACAGATCTGCCCACCATGCCTAGTCAGAGCCTCTATACTCAGTCAGTGTGACACGGAAAAAAATCAGATCAAGATTAAAAAGTCGTGCTCAACTGATGTGTTCAGGCCTTCACTCATCAACAGGCCTTTGCCATCCTGACAGCATAATGCTGCCTGTTCAGCGTTTCACTGCAGGAATGTTTTCAGTTTTCCTCCACATAGCTGAGAGATGTTAAAAGCTTAAGATATTGTTTTAGACTCAGACCCAACAATCACTCCCCTGCCTGGTGTGGTTCAAACTTAGAGGTTTGAAGAGCAATGCTTAGACTGAGATTAAATAACAATCAGGTATTAATTAGCTTATTTGGACATATCCACTTATTAAAAACATGTGATTTTGAAAACCTTGCATCCATTTTCCTCAATTTTCTATTAAATCCTAATAAATTACAAATAAGTATTGGTTGTAATGTGACAAAATGATACAGGCTTTGAGTGTCTGTTTGAAAATCACGATGCATGCTGCATAATTTTACTCACATTTTTTATCAACTGCTAGCAATCTGTTGAAGGAGAAGGACTCTCCCACAGCTATAGACTGATTTCCTCCTTGGATGGCTGTTACATCGACACTCATGTATTTCAGAAAACGTTCTGGAGACCCCCACACAAAGTCGCTGAGGTCATACTGGAGATCGGTGGTGGTAAAATTTCTTCATTCAAAGGAAGAAAAACAAAGTTATAGTTTAATCCTGTATCAAAGATCAAAATGAATGGAGATAAAGCCTTTTATGATATCAAAGAACAGCGGTGCATACTTACTCAACAGTGTCATATCCAGTGACCCGTACCAGGAAAATAGTTTCAGGCTGACGTTGGCTCCACCTGACAGCGATATTTTCATTTTGGCAGCTCACTTTTACATTGAATGGAGGTGGAACTGCAAGGAGTAATATAATAAAAAAATATTTAAACAGCTGTAAACCAAACATACAAACAAAAAGAAAAAAAAAACAGTTATTCTTTACCTTCCCGTTTTCTATCCAACAACTTTCACATTAGATAAACTCAACAAAATCAATTCAAAAGGCCTTTTTCAAATTAGTACCCTAAATGTCAGATCTGCAATATGTGCAACTATAGAGGATTGTGTTTTAACAGTGGAGCTTCTGTAGGGATTTACTTTCATGTAGAAAACCTGTATGACATTCTGACCATAGATGACTATTTATTATATTTTATAGACCTTCTTGATAGATGTTATTTTTGTTAAATTACCTCATTTTTAATTGGCTATAGTAACTTTTTAATGGCTTACTGTTCAATTAAATACTGAATTAAAGAAAAAGATAGGAGAAAAATAAAATTAAATGGTTGAATCTCACATAACTGCATTTTAGCATGTCTTTATAAACTCACCTAACAGAAAAAAAAACAAAAAAAACATTTATTTTTAAGCAAGCTATTGTGTGTTCAACTTCTAGGACTAATATCAGACTTTTATTTTTATCCTTAAATGGAAAATAATTTCAACACATCTTTTAAATTTAATATCAATGTATAAACACAAACAATGACACCCTTTAACAGTGTTACCGTTCTGGCACAGCAATTTTGCACATAAATATTTTTTTGGCCAAATCCACACGTCAGGAATATGTCGAGTTAATTAGTGTAACAAATAAAACTGCATACAAAAACAAACTGACTTAAACATAAACTATAGGTTTTTCTCTAGTGCATTTTTGTTTAAAACATTATTGTTCTTCATTTAGTAAAGTTACACATGATGGGTAGAGTGTTGTGTTGCACTGATAACATTTTTTGGCCCCGATACCGAGACATGATCCTGGCTGTGCGGTATCGGCCGATACCGATACCATCTGTTTGAAATTGATGTGTTTATATATTAGGAACTGCAGACTACTTGGATGTAAAATAATTGCCATCATGGCTTTGTCAAGCTGCTGCCTAACTTAGTGAAGAAGGAAAAGCATTTTTTTATTGCCCATCTGGAAATGGGTGACAATAGTTGAAGAAACTTTTGGCTCTCAAAATGGTATCAGTGCCCTGTTTGTTGGTACTCGCCGATACTGATACCACCATTTTCATGCTGGATCGGAGCCTTGCCCGATACTGGTATCCATATCGGTGCAAAACTAGTAGAGTGGCCGAAAATTTTATTCAAATATTGATTCTTTATATTTTTTCCTCAAGTAAAAAGGCTACAATGCTGTAAAACTGCTCCTAAACCTACTTTTTTGAAGCAGAGACAAGTAAATGTAACTCATTACCACCCACCTCTACTATAAACTAGCAGGATTATTAACAGCATTACCGCTACAATTTTCTCCACTATTGGTTCCCTGAGAGGATCAATGGCATCCTTCAAACTATGATTAGGCTCTAGTGTTTTGTTCAGTGGTACAGTTGGTCTACGTCTTGCAGCCGGCGCCTTATGATCCAAAACAAAAACACACAGCGATCTATTTTAACATCTACTTTTGATCAATGGTATACATCCTATACTTGTATAGCACCAGTGGACTAAAAAGGGCTTTACACTACAGTCATTCACACATTTAACCACAGATGCTGGCAAGCTAGATGGTAGCCAGAGCTCCCCTGGGGCCCACTGACTGAGGGGACACTTCTGTACACAGATGGCAAAGGACCATCTAAACCACCATCAGTAGGAAATCTGGTTTAAGGAGCATGCCCAAGGACACAAATACTGAGACTGGTGGAGGCTTATCTCATCTAAACATCCCTTCTTGTTATCCCTTCATTCCACATAAAAGTCCAACACGTTTATGTTAGACATGTAGGTCCTCGAAAAAAATTCCCCAAGAAGCTAGATCATTAAAAAAATAAACAAACATACAGATTCTACTCATCTTCAGGGACATTAAACAAGCTTTAACAGAACTTCGGCACTAATCGAGCAGCTGTCAGACCTGTCATAAAATTGAAGGTGTGCCTGTAGTCATTATCGTGTTAAACATCTTTCCTCATACTCTTCGTCACTCAGCGTGTAGATGGGAGGGTTGTCTCAAATACCAACTTTTATGCAACACTAAATGTAACGCCACAATCCATTGTATGCTGCACCCAGTTAATAACAGGCTTCTGGGGAAAGATGACAGCAGCTGTTTTACTAAGCTACTCTGCAGGATTCCACATTTATTTCCCCCCACAGTAAAAAAAAAATACATTTGATTCTTTAAAATCAATCAAAATCAAAGTTGAAGGAAGCTGCGCCTCGGGACTTCCCTACCGGTTATTTTCCTGGGAGCAAGTTGTTTACTACTCTTAACTCAAACCGGGTAAAACGATATAAAAAAAAGGACTATAAAACAGCGTTTATTCCAGATCAGGTTGTTACAGGACAGAGAAATTGCTTGGCGCTTGCACAGCTGTGGGCTCAAAAAACGTCAGCAATCGTCCGGCAAAGATTGAGCCCCGAACAAGGTCATCCCCTGCTTCTTATACCTCATGAGTCTATGTGTTGGATCAGGTGGATGCTTTGCTGTCCATATCAGAAACTGACACGCCATCCATGCCCAAGGATTACAGATAGCTCTCCTCTATCAGTCCGGCTCAAAGATGTGCCCATATCCTGTGTATCTTTAAAAGACAAGAAGGCTGTCCTATTTAGATGGCCTCCTTACACTCAGTGACATCCACAATGTGAAGGAAGGCCATCTACTGTTTCTAATCTGGCTAACAAAGTAACAATGCACATCATGTATAAAAGAATAAACCTAACAAATAAAATGAGGGTTTACCCATGAAATATGATCAATGTGAACACAGGTTAAAATACAATGCAATAACCCAAGATGCATGTTTGTTTCTAAACATGTTTACTTAATTCAAGAAACAATTCGTCATTTATTTAGCTTCTAGCATGAATGGGGACTTCAAGAAGCATCCAGGCCTAAATTAGAGCGTAAGATCACAGTTAATGATTAGTTTCCAAAAGGTTTTACGGCTGATAAATAAATCTCCTGGAACGTTAACAAACCTTATCTCAGTTTTATGTTTAGGAGGTTTTCAACTGGACATATTCAATGTTTTGACCTTTGCTTTAAAAATGAGGTGTTTATAGCTTTACAGGCAATGACTTATGGGTAAAATTCCACAGACTAAACCGGCTGATAAGGTAAGCTGTAAAAAACACTTATAGGCAGAGCAGAGCCGGAAACTGACTCCAACGACTGGTTAGTCACGTTCTAAGAAATGCTGCTACAAAAAAGAATTGAACAAGGAAATGACAAGTGGAAAAAAAAGGGACTATACGCAAACCTTCAACTTGTACTAACATGTTATCAGATACTGACGCAGGGCAAAAAAAGATTAAAAAAATCTTACATATTGCACCATGAACTTTCCACATCTTTTACAAGACCAAAATGTTACATTTTAGGATGATTTAATTATGTAAAACAAACACCGTTCTACAGCATTTAACTAGTTTTCTTCTAGAACCGCCCATCAGCTCTGATCCGCTTCCCTGTCTCAGCTCCCCATGGGGATGCTTTTCAAGATAATGAACAGTTTTACATTTTCTCAACAAAAACTACTGGAAACATTGGGGGGGGGGCGGGGGGGGGGGGGGGGCATCCCAGTTGATTGACACGTCACAGCACCAAAGTTATGATTACCTAATAAATATTTTATTTTAACTAGCAATTACTAGCTGACTTTTTTTGTAACCAGAAACAAATCATTGTGGTCCATTTCATAATGCAATAAAGGAGATGTTGGCCATTAATAAATAATAAAACCACTGTGCAGCTATATTATAGTTTATAGTTTTTATTTATTGACTGTGCAATATTCTTTGCAATATGCTGAATGTGCAATATATGTGAATATAATAGTCATACCACCTCCTCACCATTGTTCCTTACCTACTACACTTTAAAGTAAAAGTAAATCCACCTGTATATAAGCCATCCAGATTGTACATATTTTATTTCTTATTTGTTATTTTTTAATTTCTTATTTTTAGTGTGTTTTTCATTGTGTGCGATACATGTACACTGCACCTTAATCCTTATTTATCTTGATATACTGTATATACATATTGTTTACTCTTAATGCACCTTTTTCCTCCTTGTTTGCACCTTCTGTAACTTCTATGCCAATATGTGACGAGTGAATTTCTCCGCTGTGAGATCAATAAAGCTCATCTAATCTAGTCCAATCTAATCTCTAATAGTTAACATTTGCAGTAAATAAGAGGAAAAATTTCAATATTAAAATATGATACAAACATAACATTTGCACCAATAATGGTTTCTATGGTAAAATGGTAAATTTGCTGTACTTGTATAGTCCTTTATTTTGCTTCTGTTTTCAATCATAAACACCTTTCTATGCTTTTACTTGGATGTGCTTTAGATTTTTATTACGTTGTTTATAAATGAGAAATTACATCCACAAACCATATTGCCTTTGTGCCCAATATGTACTTAAGGCAGGGAGACTACACGACCAACACTTTTCTTAATATGCATTTAAAAACTCCACTACGCAAAAAAAAAAAAAAAAAAAAAAAGTTTTTATCATAATCTGTGGAACCGCTAAGAGAGATTTGACACTTTCTGCTATAAGAAAAAAAAAAGCGTAGCTTTGCCACTGGTGCTAATTTGGTCTGCAGCTCTCACACAGAATTTCCAGCTTCAGTTGATGGATTACTGAGGTGTTCAACACTCAGAATATTTTGTTAAGATTATAATCCTGCTTCACACTGAACCACGACTTTCTCGCTGATCTGCTGTTTTTTCCTGTAATGATTTTAAAGCTAATATTTGAGGCCAGAAAAAAAAAAATCAGCTGGATTTACATCAAGATGAAATAACACACAGATGGACTTTGTTACTAAAGAAGCGACTTCTAAAATAATCTACGGAAGAGGATTAAGGCCACTGAAAAAAAAAAAAAAGTTAATTGATTTTTAGTTTGTTCTAGTTTAATTTGGGGAAAAAGGTAAAAAAAAAAAAAACATCAGGATTCCAAGATTAGACGAAGAATTCTGATATTAAAGTCAGAACTCTGACTTGTTTTCCATAATAAACTCATAAAAAAATAATAATAAAAGAAAATCATTCATTATTTGTATATTTTTTCCAGTGGCCCTAAACCTCTTCCATAGGCAGCTCTTGGCCCTGATACTGGAGGAAAGTGGCTGTATTCATATGTAGTCCATGATACAAATTTTCTTTTTCTTAAGGAAAGAAAATAAGAAATCGATATCTTGCTTTCCATATTTATTTATTTAATATAAACATTTGTATTTATTATTTATTTATTTATTTAGATAGATTTATTTGGAAATCAGCTTCCAAACTTTGGTGTTTATCCCTTTTTACAGCTGCTTTTTCTATCTCTGCTTCTGTCTCCTTGAACCCCAGTCAGCCTCAGCAGATGGCCGCTCACACTGAGCCTGGTTCTGCTGGAGGTTTCTTCCTGTTAAAAGGGAGTTTTTCCTCTCCACTGTCGCTACAAGCATGCTTAGTGTGAGGGATTGCATTCGAGCCAATGGGTCGATGCAATCAACTGGTTTTCCTTAGACAGAAAACTTTGAATCAATTTGACTGGATGATCTGGTGAACTGTAAAGTGCCTTGAGATTATGTGTTGTGAATTATGGCTATAGAAATAAACTGAAGTGAATTGTCCTTATTTTGGATATAAACCATTCACTGCAGGCACTTTGGGTCCAATTTTTTAAAACAATATTCCCTCCAAATAAGTATCCACCAAGAAACAAAAGCAAACAAACAAAAAACGAATTTTTAAAGTTGCAAAAAGGCTGATTGTGTTATCTACCCCCCCCCTTTCACACGTCATCCCCCGCTTTCACTACAGCTTTAAACAAATAAAAACCGATTTTTGTGTGATAAAAGCAGAAAAAAGAACAAAAAACAAACAAAAAAAAAGAAAATGGAAAAGTACCAGGTAATGAGAGGTGCCATTTAAACTAGTCGAGTAAGAAATACAATAACGTATGACAGTTGACTGGATTGTCAGGTGAACTGTAAAGTGCCTTTAGATAACATGTGTTGTGGTGTGGTGCTATAGAAATAAACTGAATTGAATAAAAGAAAGAAGAATACTTTAAGCATCTTGTGTCAAACAGGTCAGCTCTGATGTCAGGCAGATATCTGGTCACGTGACATCGCCTCACGCGGTTGATCGGGTTAGACTGCCTCATTAGTGAATAGAAAGGTTCAAAGGTTTTAGTGACACACAAGGAAATAAAAAACTTACGCCTGGAATTTGTTTACTGTTTTTAGAAAGGAGAGACGCTTCCAAATGTGACATTAAAATAACGCCTTTTCATGAAAATAGAAACAAAAACTTATTTTCTTTACTTATGGGGCATCCTTATTCATTCCTGTCATTTTAAAAAGCCGTTTTACAACAAAGAAACAAATATCTCAGTTTATCCAACTTATTATTGCTGGTCTACATTAATTTTTACGGTTTTTTATTTTAAATATTTAAGCTTGTTATAAAGTTTTATATATATATATATATATATATATATATATATATATATATATATATATATATATATATATATATATATATAACACTTTTTCATATAACCAATAAAGGTAATCTGATTTAGATTTATTGTTGTTGTAAATGTATTGTTGTATTCTATTCCAGAAATATATAACACCCTCAAAAGTTAGTTTTTCCTATTAAAGAAATGATGAGAGAGAAACTTTCTTACCTTTAGTAGAAGAAACTCCGCAGATGATGAGCAGCAGGACAGTGAACGTACCATCAAGCGGCATGGCTCAGGCTCTAAACAGCTTTGATTAAAGATCCGTTTGGATTTCCTCTTCAGCTACGGGCTCCCAGACGAATATTAATTAAACCTCTACTCCCCCTGATTTAGTAGGAAAAAAAAGATCCCGGAATGATTTGAGAACACAGCTCTGTTTCCATTTAAGTCAGTTTCGTCACACACATCCCGTCAATGAGAGTTGACTCAGAGTTCTGACGGACCCCTCAGGCGTGTGTAGTAAAAACCGATCCCTCGTTAACCTGAAACACCTTGATGATACGTCAGAGCATTTTTTTTTTTTTTTTTTTTTAAGAATGTTGGCGCGCCACTGCCATCTAGAGGTAGGGCCCAGAATGTTGGCTTAAAAGAAAAAAAGAAAAAGCCTACATGAGCAAAGGTGTGAAGGTTATTTTTATTTTTTTCAAAACTTTGTGCATTGTAAGCGTGAATTTGTGGTTGTAGAGAGAGTTACATTCTAAGTTTTATATGTGTAGAATAAAAAAATTCACATGTAAAATTTTAATCATACCTGTTCAAATTTTAAGTACAAATAAACAAATTCTGTTGTACAAGTGGCAAATCAAAAACCTCTTAAAATCTCAACTTTCTTCAAATGGTTCAGAACTATTGTTGCGAAATTATTTGTGCATTGTTACTTTGGTGTTTTGTAACTGTAGATTTTCCTCTAATCTGACACAATTACAAAAAAGTTACACCTCTTCAAATTCTCGAGTGCAAATACACAGATTGTGTTGCACATCAAAAATGTTATCCATTCAGCTGTCAGTCACAAATTCAACTTTACAAGTTAGGCTTTAATTTTTACTTTTGACACAAATGTATGGAGGACCAACTCTGCCATATTTAAAAATAAATACAGAAATAAATAAATGCTCAATAAATATATAAGCATACAATTAACTGCCAACAAAAAAAAAATCTGCCATATTTAAAATAAATACAGAAATAAATTAATGCTCAATAAATATATAAGCATACAATTAATTAACAAATTAAATTATACAGTGAAACATAAATGTATATCTCTTTAAATTAGCTTCTTTATTTATTTGCCTTTGTAATATTTACCTTATTTATTTTTTTGTCCTTTACAATCTTCAACTTTATTTTTTAATTACTTATATTTTTAAGTATTTATTTATGTGCATGTTATAACATTTTTGTCTGTTTATTCTTCCTTTGTATTTTTTTATTGGTCCTCTATACAAATAGCACACCAGTAAAAATGATCTGTGACTTGTGGGTAGTACCCTTGATCACACAGCAGGGGGCGTTACTTCTATATGGCCTACTGCCATGCTGCCTTCCAAGGACCCAGCCGCTGTATGCAACCATAGATATCCATAATAAAGGCTAGATGTCTCGTCCGCGCTGCTGGCCAATGGGGGTCGACGTCCGCACGTGGCGGCCTTCTTGCTACAGGCAGCTCGCTCATTCGTAACATTTCGTTTTAAAGGCGCATGTACTTAAATAACCATAACTTCCTGAATTGTCTAATTGTTTGGTTTGTTAAATAAAAGTCAGACATGTAGTTATGATACTGCACACTTATGAATAATTATAACCATGGTATTTCATATGAAAAGAACATTGAATAGAACATACAGGTGCAATAAATATACACATGCACAAGGTATTTATGTTAAATCAATATATGCTAATAAAACTCAGTGTACTGAATGGCAACATGATATATAGATATATCTATATAGATATCTATATAGATATCTATATAGATATAGATACCTATATATATAAATATGTGTATATATATATATATATATATATATATATATATATATATATATATATATATATATATATATATATATATATATATATATATATATAAATATGTATATATATAAATAAAATTATGTATATATACATTTATATATATATATATATTTTAATATGTGTATATATATATATATATATATATATATATATATATATATATATATATATATATATATATATATAAATATGTATGTATATATATATATATAAAAATATGTATGTATATATATATATATATATATATATATATATATATATATATATATATAAACACTTTTATTTGGGTGTGATTAATTATTTCACAGTCCTAATTTATTTATATTTACATACATACTTTTATAATATGAATATTATTGTTATAATAAAATATGGAATACTGACAGAAAAGGCTTATTGTGTGGCAACCTCTTGGTGTAGCAGCATAATCCAGGTTTCAAATTAAAGGTAACACTTTGAGGTTTCATGTAGACTATTCGGATTATATATCAGGGGTAATTACACAAAAGTTCCTATTTTTAAACCATTATAAAAGTGACATTTATTTGCTATTAAAATTGGTACAATAGTCCCCTTCACAAGTATATATAGATGTAGCATGTTGAAATCCCCACCTACACTACTGTGATGGTATACACATGGAAGACAGAGATTTAAAAAATGACCCAAAAAACATAGCTTGGCTAATGCCCTTTGAAAAGGACGGTTTTATTGAGCTTCTGTATAATGTACAAGTGAGCGTTGTCCACAAGGCCATCAAAGCGGACAGGAAGGTAGCTGTGGTCATGTACTAGTGCAGGAATGTCAGCAAACGGGGATGGAAGATCTTCTCCTCCTGCTTACACATTATATAACCTGCAGAAACAAAAACAAAAGTGACCAACAACAATTCACAGTGTATAAGATTGGTATATCAATATGTGATTAAATTTCAATGATACACATACCCTTTGAAGATGAGCTGGAAAGTTGAAAATGTTTGGCACAACACCATCTTTAAAGGAATAGTACACCCAAAACATGATTAGCCTTCATTTTCTACTCACCCCCATGCTGAACAACACTCTGGAGTACTTTTTTGATATCTCAAATGCATCTGGAGATCTGGGAGACTTCTTGCTGTCTGCTGACATTCAAATAATGGAGGTCTATGGCGCCCGAGACAGAAAGGTCCACAAAAGTCCACAAAAACTTGTCAATATTCCTCCATACTGCTCGTCCAATGTAATCCAAGTGTCCTGAGTGGGTAGCATCCAGAATTTACTCGAAACGAAGTCATTTAGAACGTTTTAGAGCCTAAACAGTAGTGTATAGGATTTCCTAATAGCGCCCCCATGCGCGCTCACGATTCTACGGAAGCCGGCAGACCAAACCAGCGCATTCAGCTCGGCAAAGAACTCATGCTCTTCCTCAACACTGAAGTCCTCAGACATTTTTCTTTCGTTGTTTCTTTCTTTGCACAGGTAAACAGCACATTTCTTCTTCTACGCTTGCATTATCGGCAGACCAGACGCTGAATGCGCACTTCCTTCCGGTTTGGTCTGCCGGCTTCCGTAGAATCGTGAGCGCGCATGGGGGCGCTATTAGGAAATCCTATACACTACTGTTTATGCTCTAAAAACATTCTAAATGACTTCGTTTCGAGTAAATTCTGGATGCTACCCACTCAGGACACTTGGATTACATTGGACGAGCAGTATGGAGGAATATTGACACGTTTTTGTGGACTTTTATGGACCTTTCTGTCTCGGGCGCCATGGACCTCCATTATTTGAATGTCAGCAGACAGCAAGAAGCCTCCCAGATCTCCAGATGCATTTGAGATATCAAAAAAGTACTCCAGAGTGTTGTTCAGCATGGAGGTGAGTAGAAAATGAAGGCTAATCATGTTTTGGGTGTACTATTCCTTTAAGTTGTCCAAATGAAACTAATACAAACTTATAAAAGCTTTGAGTCAACAACAGTCTTGTAATACTATTATGTCATAGCAAAAGTCTGGCATCTTCCTTTTAATAAACCCAGCAAATTCCTGTAACATAATGTAAGATGTTTTGACAAACCAAATCGATTGGAAATCATGTGCAATTCTGCCTCTTCCACTAATGTAAAGTTGCTGGTTAACGTTAGCAGCTAGCTAAACTGTAACGTTAGCTGCTAACTTACTAACGTTAGGTCTCACTTTGCAGCTTCTTGTTATTAGCCAGCTAACGTTAGGCTAATAATGAAAATACAACAACACTCAGATTATTGTTATTAGCCAACTAATAACTACAACCACATCCACAAATATTGTAATTTACACCAAAGATTGTCATACAATCGTTATTGGTGTCAGTAAAACCTATATAATTGACTAACAGTCTCAGCCTTGATAACTTGCGCAAGTAGCCGTGATGCACAACTATGCTGCATGATTAAGTCATTTTTCGACAAGAAAATCTGCAATTTCGACATGTTCAAGCATCTAGAATTATAGCCACGTTCATAATGTTTGTAAGAAACCAAACTGTTTGTAAATCCGTCAAGAATTCAGTGAGATAAGAGTATTTGTGTTCGTGCTGATCACTCGCCTTACATTAGGTACCACAGAGCACAACAGAAAGCCTGCCTGAGGTAAGATGGCCGCCGGTGATGACGTTTGAGACTCCGCCGTAAGACATCTAGCCTTTATTATGGATATCTATGTATGCAACCACAGGAGCGTTTGAATTTAAGGAGGCGTTATACTTGGACTGCATCCTTTGAGGTCCTTGAGAATAGGGAGACCTGAAGAGTTTTGGTTGTGAATTCAAAGCAGGAAAATAATTAATCCAGAACGTTTCAAAAATGTTTCTTTTTATTTAATTATTTATTTATGTATGTATTTATTTATTTACTTATTTTTATTGTAAAGTGAACAAAGACTACACTCATGATAATACATAGTGGAATAAGGGTGAAAATGTAATGATATAAACCTTAGTCAGTTAAATAGCTCCTGTCATTTTGCACATTTCTGATGTTGCTGCTATTTTAAAATATCCATCACTGTAAAAATGTCCAAAGCTGTTTATTGGTTATTTATTCTCCAGGTGCACAGTTTTATATTGTTTAAACACTTTACGGCATGGAATTTTATTGTTTATCTTTTAACTCTTTACTATTATGCTATTCTTATACATTTTTCTAAGGTACACATTTTTCAAATTTATTTTTGTAAACACCAGAACTTCCCTATTGTGGAACAATTAAGGGATTTTCTATTCTATTCTATTCTATTCTATTCTATTCTATTCTATTCTATTCTATTCTATTCTATTCTATAAAAGGAGTAGAAAGGTATAAGTAAATCTAACCCTACCAAGAAATTACAACTTAAGGCCAGGCTAGAGATTTTTTTTCTTCTATTTCGAGAATAAATTCGTAATATAACGAGA